TGCAGTAACAAAAGAAAGAAAACAAGGGGGCAACTCTAAGAATTGAAAGAACAAGTTTTGTGTGTCTGATAGGCACAGTTATTACATCTGTCCCTACCAAGAGAACTTGTGACACACTGCCCCAATGAGGGATTTAAGTTACCCCAGCATGCTGTACATGGCTGCTGAGAATAATTGTCTGTCATGATGACCAGAACTTCTTCCCAGAGCTGGGCTCTATTCCTCAGCTGAACAGAGTCTGTTGGATCAGTAAGAGTTGCAGACTGAAGAGGGGGGAAAGCAAGAAGTCATCTCTCACAATCAGATGGATTCTGGCCTGGAATTAAGAGTGAAAGATGGCTCATAGTAACCAGTGTTCTGACTGGCAAGTTAACAGCTGGAGCAGGGGCCGGGGGAGCAGAAGCAGAAGCAGAAGCAGGCACAGCAGACAGAGAAGAAGTTGATGAGACTGACTTCTAGAGAAAGAAAAAGCATTAGCTGGGACTCTCAATATCACTTTGTAAATGGATTTACAAAGCAGGAACTGCCTTATAAGTCATGTTACAAAGCAACTCAACATACCTTGAGTGCATTGGAGACAGAACCAATGCTAGAGAATGGGCACAGCATAGAAAAGGGCACAGACTGAGGACATGAATGCAGTAGAAATGGATCAGACCAAGAAAAACAGAGCAGTGCATTACCAACAAGAGTTCCAGATTTGAGAGATGGATGATCACTCTCTCTCAAGATCTGACCAATCAAGACAACAGAGCTAGTAGTCAAAAAAGAATTGTTACTAGACACAGTAGACACCATTGAGTGTTCCCACCAAGCTTGAATATTAGCACTCTGGATATGCCATCAGCCATGCACACAGGAAAGAGGATTATGGAGTGAGGAAACACTTTGTAAAGAATATTTCAGACTTTGTAAAAGCAATTATGAAGCATTAAAAGAAGAAGAAATGGAAGAATATCACTTACACCATCATAATTGAAATCAGACTGACTGGACCATGATGCCTGGGAAGAGATCTTAAAGTCTTCAGAGACATAACTCTCTGTTGCATAAATGGAAACTGACAGCAATGATGCCCCTCCACTTTGATTTTCTTGAGAAATGGCAGTAGTTGAGGACTCTGCTTCAGATGGAGCAGAAGATTCTGGAGACACCTCTCACATTGTCTCTGAAGAGAGTCTTGGACAACAACTGATTGGGGTTTTACCCCCAAACTTATTGAGCCATTGTTGCTCACATTTCAACATCTTAATTTAAATGGAAGGGAGACACAGCAAATTATCTCTCTGCATAATGTATTAGCACTGAGAAAAGCCTTTATGAAGCCTCTCAAGATTCATAATCATCAAGAAGAGAATGCTTGTCTAGAACTCTTATCAAAATAAAGAAGAATGTTGTTGAAAAAGAAAAAGAAAGAGAGAGAAAGAGAAGATCAAGAAAGAGATATTTATATTCAAGAGATTGTCAATTATCACTAGATGGATCATGGGAAATGACAGTCACTACAGCAACTACATTACAATCACAGAGGAGCTGTCACTCTTGCTGTGATCTTATCATCACATCTACATCTAGAAACTGAGATTGAATTAAGGCTCTGTGCTGTGGCCTCCTTACATTCATCACACCAAAAAGAGGTTTTGTACAAAATTGTTACAATCACAGTGGAGCTGTCACTCTCACTGTGATCTTGATCACATCAACACCTTGGGGACCAAGACTTGTGAAGAGAGGGGAATCTGTAAGACTTCATGCTGTGATCTCCTTACATTCATCCCATCTTCTAAAAGAGATTTGTAAAACCTTCTTGATGCTTAGATGATCATGCTCCATGGCATCTGGGGTTCATAAACCTCATGACTGATCACATGATCACACTAGCAAAGCTGAGCACACAAAATCTGCCACAGACACTTCTTTACAAAGATCAGTGGCAACATATCTAGAGATTCTAGATACTGTTGTAGCAATACAAGTTATCTCTCTCTCTCATGCTTAGATCCCTTTGTAACCACTTCTCACTCAACCTAACCTCATTTACAAAGGCTGTAAGCCTTTGCCACGTTACCTGCAACCACCTGAACCCCACAGCATTTGAACAGATGATTTCCAATTTAATGCTTTTGTAGATGTGTGATTGATCAAATAAGCAGCTGTTTTGAACAGCTCTGGTCAGAGATTGACTGATAGACATGATTCAATCTATAGCACACATGCTCTCTGTGTTAGCATCTTCTCAGCATGTTCTGCTGTGCTGTTTTGCTCAGAGATGTATGAAGCTGAGATCTCTAGTGTTATTCTCTTTTTCTGAAGCTGAATCTTTAATTTATCTGAAAGAGCAGCTTCATTGATTTGTATAGTGCACACATTTGTGCTGTAATGTTTTTCAATATGTGCAATCTGATCTAGCATAACATTGTCAATTTCATTTTTTAAAAGTGCTGACTGTATCATATGAAAGTGTAAAGCATTGTTGACACAATGTATAATATGGTGTTGATCTTCATAGACTTCTTTTATTTTGCTGATTAGATCAAAATGCAGATGGGAGAATGATTCTGTATGATGCCCTGCTTGATGTCTAGATATAATTCTGGGGCCATCTGCAAGCTTGCACATTTTGCAGTCTCTGATCTTATCAAATTCATTAGTGATTTCAGTAGTAAAGAAGATCCCAGAAGTGACTTTCCCTAGCTTCTGTAAAGCTCTATAATGAATATGTTCCAGATATTTGTGCCATACAAAAGATGAAGTCTTTGAGATCTGTGACATGGAGCTTGTTTTTAAAGTGCTTGCAGCTTCTCATGTGTTGAAGCTAGATGATTTTGATGCTGATGTTGATTGATTTGATTTTTCTGATGCTGAGAATGTGACTGAATCTGTTCTAGTGTTATGTTCAATAATAAATTGATTTTCAACATCTTCAACACATGCCACTGAGTGTCAGCTTGTGCCATCTCAATGTCATAGCTTCACATCTACAGTATCTCAATACATGTTCTTTATTTTTGCCTTCCTAACTGAGATTAGACTTATATGATATTCAGACACATAGAAGACTCTAGTCAATAAGATCTTATGCTTTTTGCTGTTTGATAATGTGCTGTAATATCAAGTGTCACTGATTTCAGAGACTTCAAGCTGCTGCTTATCAGCATAAAGCTGAATTTGGCAAGGCTTCATATTAGTCATTCTATCTCAGTGGTTAACAATATGATTTATAGCTGCACTATTCAATAGAAAGCTGTCTCTGAGACTATAAGTGAAGCTGTTAAATGCAGCTGCTTCTAGTTGTACAACTACTGTTATAAATCTGATTTTCTCAATATCTGATTGACTGATTGACATCATATGAAATGCTGAAGAAGATTTAGCTTCTTTCTTAGATCTTTTAAATTTAGATCTGAACATCTTTGCTTGTTCAATAGCTATTTCTACTCTTTTTCTATTATTTTCTTCCACTAGCTTCTTATTAATATATTTTTTCACTTTGAAATTAGAGATAAATTCACTTAACCATCTTTCTTTGTTTAAATATCAGCATTGTGACAAGCAGTGAAACTTTCTGCAAAAGCATTCTTTATCTAATTGATCTGTGAGCTTTTCTGTTAGAGCTTGTTTCTCAGAAAGACTAGAGCTTCTGAAGACAACTGATTCTGTCTGTTTTTGAAGATATTCATTATGTTTGTCATCAATGAATTTGTCAGCTGTGTCATCTATGTGTAATGTCCTCATTTTTTGCTTTTTTTTTCATTGTCTATTATAGAAATCTGACCAATCAGAATCTGTCTTTTGTAAAGTCATTATAAAATCTCTGCATATCTTCAAATCCATCATATTTAGATAAGTTTTTAGGTTGAAGCTAATTCTTTTCCAGACTAGTGCTCACATTTGATGTCTTTTGTTGCATGCCATGTAATCTTTTTGTAATTTTCAGTAGTGGAGTAGGACATCATTGCTTGCTGCAATACTGATAGTGAGGCCAAACTGCTTATAAAGATGCACTAGCTTTTCTTTTGATGTTCAATAGTGTACTATAAGAAGTGAAATCTCTGAATCCATGCTATTTTGTATGTAAACACTCATCTTAGTCAGAGCTGATGTTATTCTATTAAACTGTTCTTGATTAGTGGTAAATATTCTGTATGCACTTTCATACAAAACTTTACTGTCATTTGTCAGAACTTCTTCTTCTCTAAAGTTATCTAGATTTGAACATTCTGACTCTTTAATTGTAGAATGTTCAGTCATTATTGAGTCAATGTACAGTCATACTTCATGTGCTTCCACATGTGTTGTAATTATTGTGTACCATGCTTCTCAATCTTCTTTTGTAACTAACTTAATAATCACATTATTCTTCATGAAAGATAGTTTTTTCATCTTTATGTTGTTGATGATTCTATTCCTCTGTGTTCTTAGCTGTGATTTTGTTCACTGGCAATATCAAATTTGCTTTATCAAGTGTGTGATTGTAAGGTATTCAATTATAAAAGAGATGTGAAAATAGAGTGCTTTAAGTGTCAGCTGAGCTCATAACTGTGATGCTATGAGCTATAAGCTGGAGAGAAATGTCTGATTCATCTGATCTCATATTGAAGAGGGATCTAGGCTGGTTTATATAAGCAAGTGGCTAGCCCAAGTGGGGCAAAAAGAGCCAATCAGAGTGTCAGCTCTGATCATGCATATGTGGCAAAAAGGCATGTGATTCAGAACCTAGTGTTCTGAATCTGCGCCATACAGGAAAAACGAAGAGAATCCTCTAATCTCCGTGCCTAGCCTAGCCTAGGCAGGCCTCCGGCTGACACTCCACTGGACAAGTAGTATTGACCACCCTCGGTGAAGTGACTGCTGTATACCCCAAATTTTCCGTTGAATGAGCGGTTATCAAATCAGTTTCTTGGGGAGTAGGATGTGGTAGCGATGCCATTTTGCGGCCCACTGCGGCCAGCGCCGATGCACCTTGGTACAACTGGGACGAAATATTTCTAGTGGCGATTTCATGTGCTAAAGGGTTTAGCACGTAGTTTAGCTAGGTAAATCAATAACAACTTACTATGTGGCAGGATATCAGGTGGTGCTCTTATGTTATTCAAGACGGCTGGTGTTTCTTCGGCTTCGGGTGAGTGTACAGGTGGAGGGGGTTCTGTTATGCTTGATCTAGAGGAGTGCTCACCCCCGTTGCCATTTATAGAAGCAAACAGAGTATCTCTTGTCTCGTTACTTGCGCAATGGGGCTGTAAACACGATCGTTTATTAGATGCAGTGAAAGAAAATTCAAACTGTGTTTTTTGGAAAGTGTGCGCCTGCTCCATATCATCTGCAGGTTCTTCGGAACACTGCGGCTCCACTGTGCCATGGGCTGGTGAATGATTTATTATTGACGAAGCTACTGCCCCTTCAGCAAACGCGGTATCGGTGCCATGGCCTTGGCAGAAACACTGTTCTGGGTGAAACTCGAACTTGACTCGCTTTCGAATCAATTGTCGGCACCACAACCTTCGCAAGTCATGGATGATACTCACGGCCTGCATAGTACCGACAACGGCATCGAACGCAGCCATCGGGAAACGACGTCGTTCGAAATCGTTGAAGCTGCGATGGTCACTTGGCACATGGTTGAAAGCTAGAACAATTGCAGGTTCTTTAAGTGAAAGCCATTTCTCTCCATGACCGCGCCATCGCGCGAGCTTTTCATGCTTCTCTTTCTGTACTCTAGCAGGGAGATTTGACCAGCACTTCTCCGCGAGGTAAGTAGTAACGCGTTTGTTTTTGGGGATGGAACTGCCTGTACAATGCAATATGGCCTCAGGTACCAATGCCCGAAGCTTCAAGGCCAGCACTTGTTTTTTGAGAACTCTGTAGGCACCATTTGCATCTTTTTCAGCTTCATCAAAGGCCCTTCCAGCTTCGGCTAGCTCGTTTCCTGGACTGGGAGAATTGCTCATCTGATCAGCGCTAAAAAAATCTTGATCCTCTTCCAGGCACCATTTTATTTCACTCCTTAGTTCCAGCAGCCTCTCAGACCCTATATCCCAACTATCAGTAATAGACAGAATTTCATCGCCATCAAACTCATTTTCTGCTTTCCTTGATGTATACGATATTTCGCTTGATTTATCCGATATCTCGTTGCGTGCATGTCTCGAGCGGTTTGAGATTTGCCTCTTCACATCTTGTAAAGCAACGACTCGTTTGTGACGATACCAGAACTGTTGAAATGCCTCGAAGTTCAAGGGTTCCATTTGATCCAAATCATTACCCACACTTATGAAATATTCCGCAAGCGCCTATTATCCAAGTTAGCAATTTGTTATCACAATCCACGGAGGCTTGATACACCCAACCTTTGAATCATTCCGCTGCTTAAAGGTTTGAACCAGCCCATTCAGATGTCGCTTGACCTCATTCTTCTAACAATGACCATGAGTTTGTGTTTGTCAAAAGATAGATGAAAATACCCACCCAAGAATCCACCTCCATGGTTGGAACAAATTTCTAAGTTGAGCAGGACTTCTGACAGCTTCCAAAGCTTGTGGAACTCCCAGAGTCTAATGATGGGTTTAGGGATGATAGAACTGGGACATGGGTTCGCGCCGACAACAGAGGGTACTAGTGGTTCTCCTGCTAACTAACTAACTAACTAACTAACTACCCACCATGCAATACTTTTATGGAGCAACTAACTACAATAAGGCCCCGCCTCGTGGGATTGACAGGCCCCAGTAGCGCGATTCGAATCAACACGTTTGCTGGCGCGAGGCGGGAAGCTTTGTCCTCTCCATGATTCAAAGAAATGTTTTGCACAGGAGTACGCCAACTTATTTTGGCGTCTCAACGGGTTGATGGGATTCTAGCATCTTTGGTGGTTTCCAAAAAATATATATATAAACATGTCTTCCTTCAGATTTGAAAGCAAGACCTTAAGGCAAGCTGAGCTCACAGCCACGAGCAGATACAACGCAGAAGACTTCAAAATTTCAATTCTTTTGTTCACCCTTCAAGTCTCTAATCTAACATTGCCATGGCAGGATTGCCCAGAATAGAAATATACCCTCCCACAGCGAGTCTTCTTGTTACGGAAGAACTTCGGCGAGCGTATGAACGCGCCAGCCATCCAGACCTCCAAGAAACCGCCACCAGACCCTTGTTTGAAGAGTTTCTCAACGAGTTCCTAAGAAACCGAACTTTTCCATTGTCCATATACGGCGAACAGCAAGTCGACGAAAGCCACCGCCGTGTTGATATTGCAGTGGGATTCCATGACCCTTCTCTAAATTTGATATTTGTGCTTTTGTGTGAGACCAAACGCAACAATGTCAGGGATCTACTGGAGTTTGAGGCGCAGATGCAGGATTACGGCGACAGGTACATTCACACATCAGCTGATGGTGATGGCCGTGCGGTATATCCATTCGTTTTTGGGGCGACTGCGTATGGAACTAAAATTCGTTTTTACTCGTACACGAGAGAACATGGAATCTTCGAACAGTCGAGACTCTCAGAAAACAGTCCTTTGCTTGAGACAAGCGTAAATTGGGATTTACGTACAGATGGTGTTAAGATTCATCAGGCACTGATGGCTATCTGGAACTACCGCAAACAACTACAACTAATGGTTGGTGCATGAGGTGATTTCTGGAAGGCAGCTGTGCTCATTCCAAAATTTGGGAATCGAGGAGTCGCTGCGAGAAAAGACACTTTGCTGGACTTTGAGAGTGACAGTTGCATTTCTGGGCATATGGGTGTATGTAGAAATGAATTGTGGTAAATGTCTGACATATGTACTATTGTACGTGTCATAGCTGTTCTAACATGGAACCTTCCATTTTCAGTGCATAATGGGCATATAGTCAAGACCCGTGGAAAAAGTATAATCCTGAATGACCATACCTAAGCTGTGTTGTGTAGCCTTCATTAAATCGCTGATCTGGCAACACACACTTGACTGAAATTAAATTCTGCCAGATGTGAAAAAACGAATTTTCTGGGGATACATAATGATGGAGACTTCACGCCAGTGTGCGATTTGTACTGGGGGAATAACTCGAAGGGGCTGGACAAAGAGTATGAATACAGGTAGAGCCTTTTCATCAGAGCCATTTTATTGTAAGCTTCTAACACATGCCAGTCTTAATGAAAAAAAACCACGTTGAGATTGGCTTTCTTGACTTCAACAACAACACTTTTCTACAAGAATCAAGAAACATTACATCACCAGATCAAAAGACTCAAATTAGGCTTACCCCTTCCCCGACTTTTACCTCTGTTGAGGCTTTCATTATCCACCGTTCCTGTTACCAATTGCTGGGTGAATTTGCTAGATCTGAGGTTTCGCCTTATCAGGCATTCAAACTCTGCCAAGCGATCCAACCAGATCGAGAAAGAAGCTTTGGATTCAACACTATAGCACTTTTAAGTAAGCTTTTCTAATTATGTACAGTGAGCCCAGCTAATTCAAGCCCTTAAGATTGTCCAGACCCATTCACATCCATAAGACCTCAGGAATCTCTCTTTCAGACAGAAGAAACCACGTTGCTCTTGCGGCCTGACCTTGCCAAATGTGGCTCACTTCTTTTGCGGATACCTCCTGAAATCCTTCTCCTTATTCTTGAATATCTGGCACCTTCCGACCTGATTCGGTTCTTCTGTACGAGCAAATGGGCATTGTCCTTTGTCGATTTGTTTTGTCGCTCAAACCCGTTTCATTTCTATCGATGTGATCTTAACGTCGCCGGTGATATGGGAGATAAACGTATTCTGATAATTGCGCTTTCGACATGGCCTCAATTCCCCGAATTGGACACAAGATGGCAAGTTGTGAGGGAAGCAGCAGAACTAGCTAAATTAGTCCCTTTTATGGACCAAAAAGGCACAGCTGCACAGACATTTGACCCGCGAGCTCCTCTTCAGCTCTTCAACCATAATTTTGGGCTATATGAAGACATCCTAGACATTCCACTCAACGCCAAAAGTATTACTATTTACAGGATACGACTCAGAGGCAGACATTATGTATGTGGGATTGGATTTGATACTGGACAGTCAAGTTTATTCATTGGCAACATCACTACAAACTTCTATACTAAAACTGTTCCCAGTACCGCAGCTGAAACAATTGGGATTGCTGTAGATGCCCTGGGACTTAGAAGTATTAACTATGGTGCTTGTCAGCCATGCTTTGGTAATCTGGAATCTATTGATTATTGGGAAGGGCTCAGTGTACGCCAGGAGAATAGAAAAATTCGGGTTATTCGTGATGCAAGTACTACACTTATCCTTACTTACCAACTTTGACTCACGAATATTATAGGCACTCAAATTTCGGGATCTCAGCTGGCATCATAAGACCCCGCTGTTTGAAGAAACCATTTTGATGAAAAATAGGCATCCATCCCTATCTGGCCATGGCTTTATTTCTAAAGAGTACTACGTGCAGCAACATCCCGAACAAGAAAGACAATTAGTGAACAAATTTGGCAAACTACCAGTAGAAACTATGCGGTTTGATGAAGATCTGAAAACCATCAAGATCTACACTGGTGATGGTTTTGGAGGGATAACTGGGCTTTGTGTACAGACTTCATCAAAAACATGTTCCATTGGTGCCTGCCACATATATTCTAGAACTCTCGCACTGTCCACACATGAAATATTGACAGAAATTGATGTGAGGACATCGGAGTCTTACGCACTTGCTCTAACAGTAAGTATTCTTCACTAGGCTGCAAACAACCCTCTTCTTATCATTTGAAAGTTCCGAACCAATTGCAACCGGGAATTATCCTCTGATCCAGATGGAATTTCCAGCTTCGGGACTCCGTACATCATTAAAACTCTTCGGCCACCGCCAGGATCTCACCTTATTGGACTATATTGCCGATTGGAAGGGGTAATCATCAACTCAATTGGAATGATACTGTCAGGCTAGACTGACACTCCATACTTATATTACAATATTAGAATGATTTTATTGATCAAGTGCTTGTGATTGACACTAAAGTATTTCAGCATCAGCAATTACTAGTCAATTAAATATCACTGAAATATTGAAACTTACCATGTCAAAGTATACCCCCTTTCTCTGCAGCAAGGACTGGTGGTTACCATACTCAATAATTTTTGGCCCACTTTGCTGTTCAGCATCCAATTCACCAAAAACAAATATAATATCTGCATTTTGCACGGTTGCAAGTCGGTGCGCTACAACAATAACCGTTCTTCCCTGTGCCGTTCGCTCAATTGCCGCCTGAACGAGCTTCTCTGATTCGGAATCAAGGCTAGATGTAGCTTCATCAAGAAGGAGCAGGCTTGGTCGTCGCAAAAGGGCCCTTGCAATACACATCCGTTGCTTTTGTCCCCCTGAAAGTGAGACACCGCGATTGCCTACCTCTGTGCCGTATCCTAATGTCTTGTAAGGAAAGATAAAATGTAACTGTAGACTGGTACATACCATCTGGCAGTGACATGATATAATCATGGATCTCTGCATCCCGGCATGCTTGGTAGAGTTCCTCTTCACCTACTTTGGATTCATCGACGCCAAGTTGAATATTATCGCGGATGGAGCCTGTACATTATCAGGCCGCTGACAAGTAAAGGGGGTGTTCTCAAGGGAACATTTTAACCCTACCCTGGTACATAATTGGCTCTTGAGAAACCAGGCCTACAGCGCTTCGGTAACAGTCTATTTCCAAGGACTGTAGCTCTGTACCGTTGATATATACGTTGCCGGCCTGATAATTATAAAACCTTGTATTCATGTTAGCAAATGGTAAAGGGCTGGCGACTGCAAAATATCCTATTCATACCTTTCCAGTATGGAAATAATCGATGTCTTTCCACAGCCTGTTTCATTACAAACCGGTCATCACTGCCAAACCATCATGAACTCACCTGAAGGACCGACAAATGCCACAAATTGGCCCTTTTCCACCTAGTTTAGTTGTTAGTTTCTATAGTCTGGAGTTATATGCCATTGTTTCGCACAATAAAGCTTAGATTATCAAACACTGGGATATCGCGAGTCGGATATCTGAAGGACACAGATTCAAACTCAATTTTTACTCCGCCGTCAGCATCTAACGTATGTTCTGGCGACCCATGGCCCCCATCAGCAGGCCTCAAACTGATTATCCTGTCCGCCGCAGCCGATGCCTGAGCCATATCTTTGTCTTGGTTAGGACAAGCAACAAAAATACTCAGAAAAGCTATGCTCACTTGGGGAGATGCTAGCAAATTGCCCCGAAGCTTGACCGCCCTAGTATGATGATTAGTTTTCATTGAGAAAAATGGATACGCAACCTGCATACCAAGATAATAGCGACATATACAACAAAAAACTGAATAATACCATATTCGCCATTTCCCAGTAGCTGCCCTCCGTACCTTGATGACACACTTTGTTAACAACCAAACTATCATAAAGTCTAGCACTCTCACCAAAAGCATAGTGCCATGCAGGCAAGATCTAAGCTATCCGACGCCGCAAATATCAAACATCCATGTCGTGATTTCATAAATGCTGCCTTTACATGGTCGCCAAGCAGTTCCGAGTAGTTATGAGCGATCAGGTCTTCAAGAGTTAGTGATGTAACAGTTCGAAACGCTCCTATAGCTTCTGAAGCAAACTTTGAGCTCTCCGCAAAGACAGCTGCATTGAGCTTTTCAAATCGAACTTCATATCTAACTCTCACAAACATTGCCAGAAAAATCACCGGGAATGCTGAGAACACCGTGACGAGTGTAAGCTTCCACCCAAATGCAAACGATATAGCAATGCACCCAAAAATATTAAACAGCGATATGAGCGGGAAAGCCATGTAGGGGCCTAGGAGCTCTTGGAGTTGTGTTGGATCGGAGGAAAGTCGCCCCGTTAGTGATCCAGAAGAATTTTCTTCCAAGTCAAAAAAAGGAATCGGTTTTTGGATCATACTTTCAAAATATTGTTGTCGATATGTTGTGACAATGTGCTGCAACAAAGTTAGTAGCCAACGCTGAATATAGGGCCAAAGAAATTCCGTACAGTCGCTATTGACATCGATGAGAAACCCAGAATAAAGTAGAAGAGTAAAACACCAAGAGCGAGCACAAAAAACATGAGCGCCCAAAAGTTTGCACGCTCAAGGAGCTCGGTACCTGACAGCTGGAAAGTCTGAACAAGATGTGCAAAAATAAAACTTTGTACAGAGTACGCGGCTTTGGCCAGACGTAATAGTTAGTTTCAATATCAATATGGGAGTGCAAGTCTTACCGCCACATCCCATGGCGCCCACGATCACCATCATATATAGCCACCAAAACGTGCGTTGCTCCCAGAGAAATAGACCCACAGAGTTGATAAGTGGCCTGGGTCTAGATAATACCTCATTCACCCCTGTCGCTGGCGATTTGGGCTCTTCTTGCTCATGTCTGTTTTCCTGTGGGACATTGATCACGTCTTGGAGAAAGTTGAGTGGTGCTTTCGAGCAATCTTCCACTGCAAGTTGCTGGTTTTGTACAAGTTCGTAGTATAACCCATGTTTGGCGAGCAAGTATTCGTGTGTGCCCTCTTCCTTTGCCTCCCCATTTTTTAAGAGAATGATTTTATCCGCTTTTTTGATGGTCGAGAGCCGGTGTGCGATGACTATGGTTGTTCGATTTCGCGAAACACGATCTAGTGCTTCTTGTACAATGCGTTCACTACGTACGTCGATGGAGCTCGTTGCCTCGTCGAGGATTAATATGGACGGCTTTTTGATAATGCTTCTTGCGATCGCAAGCCTTTGTCGTTGGCCACCGCTGAGCTTGATTCCACTTTCCCCAACAATAGTATCGTATCCCTAATAAATTCAGTATGGCTTAAGCGTCAATAATTTGGTCTTTTCCTACCTGAGGAAGCCTGTCGATGAATTCGTGAGCAAAGGCTTCCTGGCATGCCTCTTTGACAAGCTTTCTTTTCATGACTTCATCTTCATTTTCCCACGCCGATCCAACTAGTCCATATGAAACATTCTTGTAGATGGAGGCGTTGAAACAAAATGGCTCTTGTTGCACAAGGCCAATTTGAGATCGCCACCATTTAAGATCCACGTTTAGTAAACTCGTAGCGCCAATTGTAATAGATCCTGTATGTGCTGTTGGTGGTACGGTTTTCGAGCAACCCTCCTTCTCGTTGAATAGTGGTTTGTTACTACCAACAAGTGTTTCAGAGTCCTCGACCTGATACCAGCGCTCCAGAAGAGCAACAATCGTACTTTTACCACATCCAGAAGGGCCGACCAGGGCGGTAATTTTCGACCCAGGAATCTCAATACTTAGATTCTTTAAAACATTCACGTTTGGCCGACTGGGGTATGAGAAAGTTACATTTTTAAGCTCAATGTCACCCGTTGGGGATACATCCGGCGCCTTCAAGCCCGAGGAGTCCGGGACAGGGGCATCAAGAACTTCGAAAAATGAGGAAGATGCACCAGCAGCTTTAGATATTGCGATCATTGGTGATGCTATCATGGACATGGCCGCCACAACGATCAGGACCGAAAATATCACACTGCGAAGGGTGTTTTTAGCGGAAAGACTTCACGATGAGACGTAAAGGTGGTTTCTACTTACATTATAACGTCACCAACATCTTTCACCTTGCCACTTGAGTACTGCCTTACTCCAAACCAGAACGTCAAAGCAAAATTGCAATACATAGCAAAATTGCCGGGGCTCAATTGGATTCCCATCAAAGGAGACATCCGTAAACCCCGCTTCTTTGATTCTGCAATCCATTTGGCATACTTTACTCCTAGGCGGCGTTCGGCGCTGCATGAGACAACAGTTCGCATCGAGGAAATGGCTTCGCTAGCAATAGAGGATGCCTTCTCATCCGCAAAATCAACCTTTTTTTGAAGGCGAAGGAATAAAGGCACTGTTATACTAAAGACAGCTACCAGAAATACCAAGGCTGAGCTTGAAACCAGAGTCAAAGACCAAGAATAGCGAAAGGCTACCGCGTATGCTGCAACAACGAGGCTTAAAGACTGAACTAGTGTTGCCAATTTATCACCGATCCCGGCTTGGATGAGGTTCGCAGATGTTGTGATAGTAGTCGTCGGCTTTCCAGGTGGAAGTTGGTCAATAAAAGCAATACGTTGTGTGAATAGCGCAGAGACATATGCTAGCCGCAATCTGGCTGAAATGCGGAGTCCGGCCATGCGAATACAAAACTATTACACACTTAACGCGAAATATCAAAGAGCAGGTGAATGATGGCAAACCAGAGATATATAGCCTAAAAAAAATTTACCAATAAATAGGTAGACAATGTATAACCTGAGTATAAAGTTCATTAGTTACAATCGCAGCAATAAGATGGGATCAAATAGCGGATAACATGCTTACACATTTCGATCAACGCTTTGAAGGAATCTTTCCTTTGTAATACGAGAGTCGGGCATAAAGAAGCCGTTGAAATCACTGACCAACTTCCCTGGTAGGCAGGCGGTTTGTTAGCAGGCATTAGGTATGATCGAGTACCCACGTATCAACGGACCAAACACAATATTCATGAGTGGCAACGCCTGCTTGCTTGTTAGCCATGCCCAGCGGCACACAACAGCTTCATCGGTGGCATACAATGCCGGTTCCTGCTGCACACAGTCCCGCAACGCCCATTAAGGCATGGTCAAGCCGGCTTCCATAGGACAGGACTCTCTACGTCGAGGTTAGCCAGCTAGAGCGTTGTCCCAGGACAGGTATTTACCCATAGGTTCCCAAAAGCTGGTTTTTCCTTCGTCTCCACAGTCTCGTCTGCCGTTTTCTCTGATTCATGGGGTGACATTCTGCAGACCAGAGTTACGGAACACTCAAAGGCTTCCTCGATGTCCACGAGAATAAATATGCCAATAAACAAAAAGACTCATGACAGGGGTCGCAACAGGCAACCAAAGTGAGCCACCCAGGTTCAATGGGCAAGGCAGCAGCATTAACTAGCCAAGTCCTGCTAGCTATGTTATTTTAGCTAGCTAGTTAACTTGTTGGCTAATGCTCACTTGTTACTCGTCCGGCCAGGATATGACTGTTGCTGCAGGTTGTCGACAGGGCTCCTGCGCCATGCTGACTGCCAGCCAGATCCAAAACAATAGTTAGTTAACTAACTAACAGGCAACACTGAGAAACAGACCAAATGGAACAGTCTACTAGGTACAAAGTGGTTATACTCCGTACTAACAAATGTAAAACTGATGCCCACTACTCCGTACAGTGGTGACTGTGCTCTTTGGCAGTCTCCTCCGCTGTTGCTCCGCTGGTGCGTACCCACGATCCCCGCGTTCTCGGCTATCGACGGCCCACCACCACTACCACCACCACCACCGAGACTGCAGCGGTCGCTCCAGCATGCACCGTCCACTGTTCTTTCTTCTTTGCTCCCACACTCTCCCTGTGTCTTGCATGCTATGGCCATGTCCTCTTCTACCGCCCCGCTAAGGCGGCTACTTTCTTCTGCGCCCCCCGCGTCGCGGCGCTCGTTCTCCACCTCTCTCTCCAGGCAAGCGACATGGGGTTTCATTGGCCTCGGCCAGATGGGTACGTTTTTCGCATCCCTGAATCGATTGAAGCCCTTGTTCTGACCGGGCTGTGTCCCATTGAAGGCTACCCCATGGCCAAAAACCTGCGCACCAAAATACCTGCAACGGACACCCTTCTCGTTTGCGACGCCAATTCAGAGACGGCACAGAAATTCCACGCGGAGCTTACTGGTAAGCGCGTAGAAATTGCATCTGGTCCCCGAGAGCTGGCGGAGAAATCGGTAAGCCCCGCACCGAGACCACTCACCATCCGCTTCCTACAGAGCTATTTAGGAGTCTACTCCTACTATGACCACCGCCATCGCCCTTCCAGCTAATACCAGCTTTACCGCTATCTTAGGACACTGTGATAACCAGCCTTCCCGAGCCCCAGCATGTGAAAAGCGTCTTTCACACGATCCTCAAGAGCGGTCTACCTGCCAAAAAACGACTCTTCATTGACTGCTCGACCATCGACCCACTCTCCTCACGAGAAGTCGCCGACGCAGTTGTATCCACGGGCGCCGGCCAATTTGTCGACGCTCCCATGTCAGGTGGTGTAGTGGGCGCGACGGCAGGAACCCTCACATTTATGCTTGGTGCTTCATCAAAGATACCGGAACTAGTGCCAGAGGCGGAAAAGGTTCTGCTCCTGATGGGGAAAAAAGTGTGGCATTTAGGAGAGCAAGGCGCCGGTTTGTCAGGAAAGCTGGCAAACAACTATCTACTTGCCATCTCCAATATTGCGACCGCTGAAGCCATGAATCTCGGGATTCGATGGGGTTTGGACCCGAAGTCCCTTGGCCAAATGATCAACTCATCATCTGGCCGAAGTTGGTCCAGTGAAATCAACAACCCTGCCCCGGGCGTTGTGGAGTCGGCTCCCGCATCGCGCGGCTATTCTGGTGGGTTTGGGATCAGTTTGATGAAGAAAGACCTAAGGCTGGCCGTAGAAGCAGCAAAAAAAGCTGGGGCGCGCTTGGAGTTGGCAACAAAGGCCCAGGAGGTCTATGATGCAACAGAGGTCTCCCATCGTGGAAAGGATTTTTCAGTTGTGTACAAATACCTAGAAGAAAACTCCAGTTAACTAACTAACATGTGGCGCGGCTAACTTTTTCTTCTGTTTGCATGATGCCATGATTCCGTAGTCAATAGTTAAACTAGATCAATTGAACCTGTAACTATATAAATAGCTATATCATACAATTCAACTGTCTCATGCTATCAATTCTACATCCTAATTTTCTCCCTAGACTGGTGGGTGCGGCTAGGGTTAGGGTTACAACCAATAGCCAACTAGCTAGTTAACTAATAACTGCGTCACATGTTGTCATCTCATCGCATTGTCAGCTCCCAATCTCAGAGCACAATTCATCTGTTGGGTTGTGAATGAAAAGACCAAGACATGATTGGCCAAGGGCTCAAAAACATTGTTTGCTCTATATTTGAATGCCAGGCAACCCATTAACTATTTATTATAGTTAACTACATCACAGATCCATAAAATTTGTCACCATTCCCCATCCTCTCTCATTGCTCCCTGATATCCAATGCAGTTCCTAGCGTCATGGCCTATGTCGTTCCTCTCCATCACGGTAGCAGCATTAGACATGCCGTTAAGCTACAGTTTATGAAGCTTGGGGAGGATTGCTTAGTTCTTGCGTATATTTAACCCCTCCCTCACCCACTCCAACTTTCATCACGCCCGTTATGATTCCCGCTCATTGATTTCATTGTCATTACAGAAGGTCAAATCGTTTGGAGTTTTACACGCAGGCACCAGATGGTCTGGTTCTCCGGCATGCAAAAGCGATATATGGCAAAGTTTCTATTCTCCAAAAGGTCGCCCGCCCTTCCAACACAGATTTGCTCTTTGTGGGCACTGATCGATACGCCTATTTCACACTGTTATGGGAGCCGTCCACAAAACAGCTGCGGACCGAACAAAAATATGTCGATGTGTCCGACGCCTCATTCCGGGATAGCCAGGCGGGTGATCGATCGTGGGTAGATCCCTCAGGGAAATTTCTCACGCTGGAGCTATATGAAGGTATCATCACGGTCATACCCATCTCACATGAGCCGCAAAGGCGCCCCGCCTCCGCCTTACACTCCGAATCGAATGGCCTCGGATACCTTGGAGAACCACATCAGGCTAGAATAGAAGAACTTCTTGTTCGATCAACGACATTCTTGCACCAAGACCCTAAACGCCCACCTCGACTGGCAATTTTATATGAAGATACAAAAGGCCAAGTAAAATTGAAACTTAGAGACTTGATATACACTGTCATCGGTTCAGAAACAAGTGTGGCAGAGTTTAAAGATATTGACAATTTGTATGACGATTTAGAACTCGGGGCGGATATCCTTATTCCTGTCCCCCTACCGTTTGGTGTGTTTCCCCATTCCCAATTCTAAAAACAACCACAGGTCATCACATTATCTGTAAAAAAAAGCTTTCCTTCTTTTCGTATTTTTACTCATACTACTATGCAGGAGGGCTTCTTATCCTTGGAGAAAAGTTCATCAAATATGTGGATACTGCTACAAACGAAACGGTGACTCGGCCTCTAGAAAACAATACTCTGTTTGTTGCCTGGGAACGACTAGATGCCCAACGATGGCTGCTAGCTGATGACTATGGCCGTTTGTTTTTTCTCATGCTGGTCTTAGACTCGGCGAATGCAGTGCGCAGCTGGAAAGTGGATTTACTCGGAGCAACATCTCGTGCCTCCATTCTTGTACACCTCGGTGGGGGCGTAGTCTTCTTGGGCTCTCATCAAGGTGATTCTCATGTGATTAGGATCACTGACGGCTCTTTTGAAATTGTTCAAACTCTTTCCAATATAGCCCCCATTCTTGATTTTACCGTTATGGATTTAGGGAGCCGTTCAGGAGAGATATTGACCCACGAATTTTCCTCGGGCCAGGCACGCCTCATTACAGGCTCTGGGGCATTTCAAGATGGAAGTCTAAGGAGTGTTCGGAGTGGAGTTGGAATAGAAGACTTGGGCGTCCTTGGCTCCCTGGGACACATTACAGATCTGTGGGGTTTATCTGCCTATTGCCAAGAGGAGTTCTCTGATACCCTCCTTCTGTCGTTTGTGGACGAATCAAGGGTGTTCCACTTTTCGCCCAGCGGTGAAGTAGAAGAAAAGGAACACTTTCTCGGGCTTCTGTTGACAGAGCCTACTATTTACGCCGCTAACATCACCAACCGTCGATTGCTGCAGGTGACGGATCATACAGCAAGGGTGATTAATGTTGAGAACGGAATGCCTGTTTGGGAGTGGTTTCCAACAGATAACCAGAGAATAACTGCTGCTTCAGTGAATGAGACACATTTGGCGTTGGTAGCAGGTGGCCAGGAGCTTGTGGTTTTCAACATTGCTAACAATATTAAGTTATTAGGAGCCAAAACCTTCGGGGCTTACAAACAGGTCTCTGGTATCGCTCTCACTCCACTACCAATTAATTTATGTCTTCTGTGTTTTCCCCAATCCGCGGAAGTTGTGCTTGTCGACTTGGAAGACCTTCACATTCGCCATACTGAGGCCCTAGGTGAAGCAGGCGATGCCGTACCTAGATCAGCTCTGGTAGCGAACATGATTCCCAACCATCCCCCAATAGTTTTTATTTCAATGGCTGATGGAAGTGTGTTTTCATTTTCTTTGAATACCGAGACGTATTCTCTATCAAATATGAACAGACTTATTCTTGGGTCTGAGGCAGCAGTGTTTAAATTATTGCCGAGGGAAGCTGGGCTCTATAATGTTTTTGCAATCTGCGAGCACCCAAGTCTTATATACGCATCCGACGAAAGAATAGTCTACTCTGCTGTTAATTCTGACAAAACAACCCGTGTGTGTCAGTTCAACGCTCTGGCATATCCCGGGTCAATCGCCATTGCTACACCGGACGAACTCAAAATTGCGCTTGTGGATACCCAGAGAACAACGCAGATCCAGACCCTAATGATAAATCAGACTGTTCGAAGAATTGCATACTCCCCAGCCGAGCGCGCTTTTGGAATTGGAACGATCGATAGAACGCTAGTCGATAATTCTGAGCAAATTAGGAGCCATATTGTTCTAGCCGATGAGATAGTGTTTCGAAAGCTAAGCGAATTTGAGCTGAACCCCCGTGAAATTGTCGAGTGCTTAATACGTGCTGAACACCCCATCTCCAGCAAAGATTACCCCAAGGATATTTTCGTTGTTGGCACGTCCGTATCAGATGCGCCTGAAACTTTGGAGCGTCACGCAAAAGGAAGGATCCTAATTTTTGATATTGATTCCAGTCGACAACTACGAAAGATCTCGGACTTATCCATTCGTGGTGCCTGTAGGGCGCTAAGCATTGTCGGCAATAAAATTGTTGCCGGGCTTATGAAAACTGTATGTTATTTCCTTTTGTCCTTTTTCTTCTGTCTGCGTTCACTAGAAAAGTATGTTGATGTTTCATAGGTGGTCTTGTTCAACATGAAAAAAGGACACCTTTTTAACATCGATCTTGAGAAGGAAGCGAGTTACAGGACCTCTACTGCACCCGTTGATCTCTCCGTCATGGATAACACCATAGTCGTTGCCGATGTGATGAAAAGCATTTCCCTTGTTGAATACACACCCGGAGAAGTGGGGCAAACGGGCGTTCTTAAAGAAACCGCCCGTCATTACCAAACGCTTTGGACTACCGCCGCAACCCCAGTAGCAGAAAATGCATTTCTAGTTGCCGATGGCGAAGGCAATCTGTCGGTTCTCAACAAAAACATATCCGGTGTTACAGACGATGACCAGCGCCGCATGCAGGTCACCAGTGAAATACGGCTGGGTGACATGGTGAACAAAATTTATTCTGTGAACTTTCAAGTCCCTGTGGACTCCCCGGTTGTCCCCAAAGCTTTCTTAGCGACGGTACGTCCACTTTTCTCCTCTCAGCCCTACCGGAACAATTCCGAATGCGAGGTTTATCATATTGTTACTTTATGCGTGCTTGATGTGTGTGATGAATCTGCATCGCTGACCGTATTGTTGTTGGTAGGTTGATGGATCTATCTACCTTTTTGGCCTTATCTCTCCTGCCTTGCAAGATCCTCTCATGCGACTTCAATCTGCGCTAGCCAATTTCGTGGCTAGCCCTGGTGATATACCCTTCAATGACTATCGTGCATTCAAGAGCAGCGTCCGGCAGGCAGATGAACCATTCAGGTTTGTGGATGGTGAACTTATTGAGCAATTTTTAGCTTGTTCTCCTGATATTCAAGAGGCCGTTCTGAAAAAAATGGGAGCCGAAGGTAGTTCAGAAATGACACAAGTGAAGACTATTGTTGAAAGGTTAAAACGTATGCATTAAATAAATAGGACCTGTAATATCGATTGTCTTCAGCATAAAAAATTTCTACGAATGAAAGCATCTACTACAGATATAGATACCGGTACTATGGATTTGCATATCTCAGACATAGTGTATAGCAAAGTAATATTTATACTGTAGCCTACATTCATACCAAAGTTCCCTTGATTAGTTTCTCTGAACAACATCACAGAAATGCCAGTCACTGCTCAGCATTTGCAGAGCATACTCTGTAACGCGATTCTCCATTAGGCCGATATACCCAGAAGCAGCAATCAAGGCACATGTCCCAAACGGCTATTAGACAAATCGACGTCGACTGTTATCGTCTTAATACACAAAATTGTCGAGAATTGGTGTATCTGTAATCTAATAAGAATTTCGGCCTTTATTGCATTCTTGAGAGAACGGTTAAAATAGCCAATGACTATCGCGAGCGTTATCATCGGTGAGCCTCATCTTCCTCCCATACGTGTCAAGATTTCTTTGGCAACCTAATGGTTGTGGCTATGGGCTCCTAACTTCGGCGTGTGGGATGCGTAGCTGGCGAAGGTTTGTCCATGTAGGACCGCAGAACAGATTCCAACCCAGCATTTCGTCTTCCAAGGAGTAATACATCCGAAGGCTGAATTTGACCGTGGCGGCCATGCCTAGTCACCAAATAGAACTGCTATAAGCTTTGTACATCCAGTTGGGGGGACAATGGAGTATAAATACTTTGCAAACATGATCAAGTCCTCAGTTGTCTCCGCTGGGAAGAACTGGGTCAGAAACAGCTAGCCTAGGACACTAGAAGAGCACTCCACCTATCCGATCCCACACCATTTCAGTTATGGCGATAAGAAATGAGGGTGTCAGATCGACATCTTCCTCACTTGCTTGTTTGCGTACGATTGGACGAAGCGTTCTCCATAGCTCAGCTTTCAGTCTCTACGTTTCAATTAGCATCAAGATAGGGGCGCATCGCGGGCCTGGATACTGACGAGGTCTTCAAGGTGCTGGTCCTCGCCATCAGTCGAAGCCATAGTTGCGGTTGATGCACGCTGCGCTGATCAGGCTTGCATACAGAGTACAGAGTACTCCGTACCTACGGAGTACAGAGTATTTACGGAGTAGACGCGTCGCGCTTCACGAAAAAAAGGCGCTTGTTTTGCCGCGCTAATTTGACTACCTAGTTAGTTAGTTAACTACGACCAAATAAGCTAGCGCATCCTGGCAAAAGCTTGACTCGAAAACAGAAAATATCGCAGGCAACACTAACGCTGTCTCTTGACCTTCCTACCGCGTGTCATCTAAATCATTAAGCCGCTCTCCCTTCCTCCCATTGATGCCATGTCCAACGTACCCTTCACCGCTGCCCTTTATAATTGGTACTCCAATTTCGCTACAAATGCGGCCCAATCCATCTCCGATCTCACGCTCCGAGATTATATTCGACTGGTGTGGCTAGTTGGAGGATATCTCTTTCTGCGCCCGTATCTTGACAAAGGGTTTCGCAAAATGTTTGAAACGGATATGGCCAAGACCGAAAAAGTGGAAGCTCAAAGACTGTCTGAACAGCAGCAGGTCCATAAGGACGCTTTGTCTAGTACGCAGAAAGAAGACCAGGAGAGCTATGATGACCACGATCACTCCCCCGCTAGAGGGCCACAATGGGGAAAGAGCGCGAGAAGAAAACAGCAGAAATTTCTCGAGTTTCTGGAACAGGAAGCTGAGAGACAGAGAGAGGACGACGATGACAAAGACATTGCGGATTTGCTAGAGGATTGAAAACACCGACTCAAAGCACCGCTCTATTTCTAATGGCTCGCGTGAAGATTGTTATTATATGTATGCTTTTACCAAACTGTGGGGAATGATACTCAATGATCCACGAGCTGACAAGTCGTCGCTTCTTACTACAAGGTTATAAGGTCCTCTGTCTGTCATGGAACTTTCCTCCTCAATCTTCACTCTCCAACACTACCTTCCCTGATGCTTAGAAATATCCTGCTGTTCCACCTTCATCAGAAAGCGATTCCAGCATGTATGTCTCTTTCATGCCTCGCTGTATTAGCCCTCAGACTCGCTTTGAAGCCTTCATCCACTCGATGATACAAGAGCTGTACACTTAGTTCTGGTCTTTGCCGCATCCGGTACGCCAGTCAGCCTCCTGCATTTACCTTTACCATGTACCACTGAACGCCATCGCACCTAGGTTCAAGTTCAAGTATTTGGTTCTCTCTGACTAAGAACAACCACCACATGGCTATTGCAACACGGGTGATTGACATCATAGATTGGGGAAGCCACCGCGGACTCGAGGGTGGCGCTTGCTTAGCAATCGCGCTTGGATTGGATAAGTAAAAGCTAGCAGGTCTGCTTTAAAATGAACGCAATGGGCAGAACTTTTCATAGTCACAATCAATCAACCTTGACCAAACATTGTATCCGTACCTGGGAAACCAAATCAGGAAGTCCAATCCACTGCTCTTAGTCGATTGACTAACTTGACTCCCAGTGTAATTAACATGGCTCTCACAAATGCCATTCGCATTAGCAACCTTGTCCTTCGCCTCTGTCAGCTTTGTGTCTCAGGTATCGTTCTCGGCATCTTTTCCTACTTCCTTGCAGTGCTTTCCGATCATGGCCTACCAACACAGAAATGGATTCAGGCCGTCGAAGGTATATCCGGCATAGCTACTGCTTACACGCTTCTCGCTTCTATCCTCACTCTCAACATCGGCAGCATTCCTTTTTTTGCAGGCTTGGCTATTGTGCTTGATTTTGTGTTCGCCGCAGCATTTATGGCCATCGCTATTATGGCAAGAAACGGCACGCAAGCGTGCATAGGAAATGTCAAAACTCCCCTTGGCAATGGCGACGTGACCCAACCAGCCGGGGGATTCGGACCTGGAGGATTTGGTACTGGCAAGGGAAAGCAATTAACATTCATGCCTAGCTTACGCACGGCGTGTCAACTGCAGAAGGCAGTATTTGCCCTTTCGATTATCGGAATGTTAGTTTTTCTATCAAATGATTCTTAGGTGCTTCTTGTCGGCAGCAGCTGATTCCACAGACTCTTTTTCCCGGCTTCCATGATTGCTCAGTACTATTACATGAAGAACCGAGCAACGCTGAAAGACGTAAAAGCCAAGAACTTCAACATTCGCTCCTTCTTCCGTATCCCCCAACGTCGTCGCCAACTTGGGCCTCGTGCCACAGTTGTTGAGTTTGATCAAACCGATGCGTTCAACGGCACTATACCTCTGTCGGAGCAGCCTTCAACTGAAAAACCACCGCGCTATACGAAGTTCTTTGGGCATGGAAGCAGTACTGGCAGTTTACATTTGAATAGTAACCCTGATGTATGGCCAGCAACGCAACCGGATAATGCCCATGAATTAAAAAATCACCCCCATACGAAGGAGCACGGTAACCATTCACATACGATGCCCGCCTGTGAGGGAGAACAAGGCTATCCATATACTGCCAATAGCAATCCATATGGAAATGATGTGTTGCAAAATTCTAACTACCCAGGCTACGCATATGGGGCAAGCGGCGTTAGTGAAGGCGGATATGCCTTTGGATACGGTGGTGCTCGCGCCGGAGCGCCGCCACATAACATTCACTTGGAAAATGTTTAGCTTCTTTGACTATGAGTACAGCACCGTCTACTTTTTGGCCTTGATTTTAATCTCTGATTAGTCTTCATACTTCAATCCACATGTCTTTTCACATACCTAGAAACCACATCAACACGCACACGCACTGAGTGGGAGAGAGATAGAGAGTATTTAGATTCTCGGCCACACTTCCATTAGAGACCTACAATTATTTTGCCAGGATTCCTTACGGGCTAGTGAGGCAGTTAAACGTAGCTACTTTATGTAACTCCGCTCAACTTTGCCAATTAGGGCATCCAAATCAGCTGGGGGACATTTTTTTACATATGTACTAGAACGACATAACTACCTAGTTAAACATTAAAAAATAAAAATACAAATGAAAATAACAAGCAATATAATTCAAATAACCGCCCCAATGACTAGCCAACCTCTAGCCCTTCAACCAAGACCTCCTCCACGACATTTTATTCCGGAGCCCACGCTACCTATAAAAACAAACCCTTGCCCGTCAACACATAAGGAAAACGAAGTTTCCGAATCACATCGAATAGTTCCCGTTATGCAACGCCCACCCCCGGTTGGGGTGTCATAGGCGCCATCGGTAGGAGCAATGTTAGATGAGTTTACGGCAGTAGGAAAGGGGGGAGAGCTGCTTGATCTAAATGTATAAGATGCCGCTGATGGTGTGATATACATTGCGGAGCACGAGTCATAATTCTGATCTTCCTTATAGTTCCCAAGGTCAGCAGTTTCGACAGGAGAAGCACCCTGGCGTAACGGTTTTGTCGAAGTAGGTGCGTATGTCGTATTTGCGGAGGACGTTGGAAGGCCACGATCAGAGGCGGACACATCGTCATTACAGCTAAAGCCTGGTTTCAGCGCTTTATGACCATCAGACCCATACTCGACATCTGGCCCTAGTTGGGGAAATGTAATATCCGCCCCTTCTTTAGTTTTGCACTGCGTCTCGCCGCGGATATTCGCAATGAATATTTTGGGTAGGCTTGTAAATACAGAATGGGTATTTTGCCGTCGCTTTTTTGCTTTGATAATGATTATGTGTGCACAATTCATGTACATTTCACGATTCCCAACTTTGTTGAACCATGTCCAAGCCAGTATTGCGTTGCCTGGAGGTACATCTCGTGGGACCGTAAAACTATACTCGTTTTTAAGGGGGCAGCCACCGACGATCGACTTAATGACCTTAAAGGTCTCACCATTGTTATGCGAAATAGAGATTTGGCATGACCCTCCGCCATGAGTAGCGCTGCCAGCTACTTTAATGCTATAGTTTTGTCCAAGCAGGTACTCAGCGGTTGCTCTGAAGGGATCCTTGTGATATCCTTTGCACGGATAATCGGACCCGTCCGGCTTGAGGGGCGCCGTGTATGAAAAATCTTTTATCATGGCTTGTTTATCCAGCGGGCTTCGAACAGGAAATGGCTGAGATAGCTGCATATGTCCGTTGATAATTGCCGCGATATGACTGATCACAAGGAACTTAATCAACATCCCGAAATAAGAGTAATGTGAACCCAATGAAGAGTTATTGTAGTATGTGACCTGAGATATCTTGCGACGTTTCTTGAAAGATGGGTAGTGGGAAAGATGAACGCATCAGGGTTCAAAGGTGTGTACAAAATATAATATCAATCTGCTAGTCCCACATGCAAGGAGAATTCCTTGTGGTACGTAGCAAATTTAGCAACACATACGCTTTGTAAACTGGACAATCTCGTGAATGAAGAACACTAAACACCTGAAGTGAAAACCCCCTCAAATTTCCGTATATAGTGCACATGAAGATGGTAAACAGCAGGAGCTTGAAAGAAAACTAAAAGTGGGCTATACTGTCCTATTCATGGTGCAAGCAGAAAATGAGCAGTAGTATTGATACATGCATCAGTCATTAAAGGCAGGAAAATCATCCGTGAACTTACTGTTGTAATGGGATCTTCCTAAAATCCTTTCTCACATATGTTTCCCGAACTGTATCCCCTTTGTCCGAGGCAACCACCCATTCACCCATTCCCATATACTCAGGAGCTCGCCGGACACCACGGCCACCGCCACCAACAATCAAATTTCCTGGTCGATAGTTTTGATCCGCCTGCATGCGCCGTATCGCACTTACATGGATAAGTGCATCCTTAGGAATATCGCGCACCTCACCACAGGGGAGTGGCCACCGGATCGGTTTCCACGACCCATCTGCTTGGAGATCCATTCGTCGAAAGGGCAAATACTCCATAGCCTTCCAAATTAAAACTGACATCGTGGAAAGCCCGCCGTTAAAGGACAGACAGTCATGGAGCTGTCCCTGGGTGCTTGAGAGGTGAAGGGCGTCATGGAATTCTTCCCCAATGGAAGTTCGAAAAATGCTATCGTTTTGGTCCTCCGATTTAGGATGTTCACCATTCTCGTCAGTGATTATGACCGATGGCTTTTCAATGATGGTTGTAGAACACCCTTTTGTATATGGCATATTGCACCTGAATTGTCGAAGTTTGCGTTCATCAAACTGTAGGCCGGCTTTTTGTGCCTCCTGGACCATCCATACCAATGGAGCGTGGCTCAAAGGCCATTTTTCCCCAGCTATTAACTCCCAACCTCCGCCAATATCAGCGTGGCCTCCAGGAAACCACACTTCTTGGATATCCTGTATACCATCCTCACCAAAATGTAGCCGTGGATTTGTATGCAGTGAGATTTGTGATTGTGCACTTCTTGCAGATGCGGCGTCGGACTCCAAGTCCTGAGCACTGTAGGTTGACAGATGCGCAACTTGCTCCCTCCAGACCTTCATATTTGTCACCGGGCGATATCTGTCCTCAGTTTCATAGGAATTGATGCACAAAGGCAATTGGGGCATCGCATTCCCGGTACTTCCCTTATGACTACGGTCATTGCTATGCTCGTTATGACCACCAGTTGGTGGAAGATGACCGTCCGACTTCTCGATAGGTTGGACAGACAGCACTTTAGCTTTCAAATTCTTTCTATTTTTCCAGAGCCCGTGTTTCTTCGATAATGGGGTGCAAGCCGTGGCGCAGCGTCGACATTCAGAGATCAGGTCTTGACGAAATTTTGCCCTTCGTTCATCTATCCCCACTGCATGTCTAATCATCTTCGCTGAGCTCCTCGCAGTGTATGGGTATTTGCTCCTTTGCATCCATGCAGATTCAAATGTCGGCACACTATTCACCGTGTCAAATAATCCTAGAAATCTGATCTGTTTTATCGGCCGGCTGAAGGTTTCTCGAAAAGCCTTCATAAATTTGAACATGTTTCTCTTTTCCCTGGCATGTTCCACGCTGTCACCGCTCCTTTGTTGCCATTTTGAGAAGGTTTTCCATGCAAATCTTACTAGCTCTTCGTTTCCGGCTGTTAACAAGCCTACATAATCTAACATCTCGGCTAGGAAACGAGCAGTGTATGCCCCTCGGCTAAAGCCGATAAAATATATGTCATCACCAGGAGAGTAGTAGCGCATAAGAAATCGATAGCCCCCCATGACGTGTTCAGCGAACGATGACCCAATTGCGGAGTCCTTTGCTTTCATATATGAGCCTTTAAGACGAGAAAGCAAGCCTGTATTAGAAAGGGATGCTGTAGTAACATAAGTCCCAATGCCGGGCTGGTAGTAGTGAAAATGCCGCCCTTGATTTCGATCTAGCATCTATCTTTGTATTAGAGCGTTATGATCATGGGTATTATGGTGATACACAGCAAACCCGGAAAATTTTCAAGACATTAGAATCTGCTTCTGTGCCGCAAAACTTATTTCCCGTTCCATCAAAGCAAAGCACAAAGGTTTTGGGCGGCAGAGACGGCGAATAATCGAGAATTTGACTCATGATTATTTATTGTAAAATACTACTCTTTATATTGATCAAGCATGTTCCAGTTCAGAGCAAAATAATATACTTGAATTCAAGATTTCCAGCTCGGGTGACGCTGCAGTTCCTGTGTGGGTTGATTAAAACACGGTTTGATGGGCAATATAACTAGTTAAATGGGGATGGTGTCCTCGGTTCATGGGATCCATCACCGAAGCACTTCCAATCTCAACACAAGATGTAGAGCAATCTTCGAGCCCTTACATTTGGCCTCGACTAGATGATTGTTCATTTGCCATGAATGACGAAATTTTGCGAATCCTCCTGGCTCGGCAAGCCATCTCCGCTCAGTCTTTAAAAACAGGCCGACGTGAGCTACAGTTCGAGGTCATTGCAGAGAAAGTTCTCCACCAGCAGACAAGTCAAATGGCGACATCCAAAAGGCCAAATCGCAAAAGCTGGTGATTGTTACAGAGGGGATTCGCTTCTATGGTTGGCTTAGCGAGAGGTTGAATCTGCAAGCTAGTCGCTTTGAAAATCGATAGTCCGCGCGTTGCATCTGATGGTTCGGATTTGCGATATGAGATCGACAATTGGGCAATGAACGATCATGATACCCACTCGGCTGGCCTGCTGTGGCGCTCGCCAAGAGCTAAGCATTTTTCGTGGGTGACTGAATGACTAGACAAGATACAGGGTACAAAGCACTCCTAGTCTAGACTTTATGTATTGATGGAGACGCCGGGCTTCAATGAGGATGTTGCTATCGGGATCATAAGATCATGAAGGCACGGTGTAGTTCAGCATAACAGAAAAGGGAAGCGATTCCACGGTAAGCTCTGTTGCGCTGGCGAGTTCTGCATATCATCATTCTGGCTGGCTGAGATTTCGTGTTCAGCATGTAGTCGGGCTGAAGCAAAATGCCGACCAGAAGGCCAATTGGTTGGTTAGAAAGACCCTTGCACGATTGTCGGTAGGATAGCGGGTGTCTCAAAATGGACGGAAAGCGACTAGCTACCTAGTTACAGAGCGAGAACTGGTTAGTTTAATAAAAGAGCATGCATATGGAGGACAAGTACTCCGTACCAAAATGAATGTTCGCTTGATGTTCAAAGAAATGCAGTTGGAGTCAGTGGGCAGCATGTGATCCTCCTAAACCACTCGCTGACTAACTAAACAGCTAGTTAAACTAATGTTGAGCAGGAGTCAGGTGACTTGTCAGGTGACCAGGTCTCCGAAGGAGGAACCAGAGAACCATAGGTTCACCACCTCCTCCTCTCAACCATGGTACTGATTTCATTATCTTTGTCTATCGGGCTGGTGGAGGTTTGCTAGGGGTTTTTCATATGTTTTTCCCATAGTCTTGATTATAGCATGTTCATCTATAAGTATCCATGTCTCATTCATTAGGAGCAAGATCAGACACAATATTATAGACACTCAGTTACATGATCATTATGTGCTTCTGTGTCATCTGATAGTTATGAGCCTGGGCTCTTTCAAGAATTTGGTTGTTATCTAAAAATATGTTCAAGATACTTTATTTTACTCTTGTTATTCATACAAATAGAGGTCACTATTAAGTATCTTGAGATCATACATTGAACCCTCTATTTAAGCTTAAATCTTAATTGCAGAGTTCACAGAGATCTAACACATCTATATATTTATCAATCTAAGTCTATGGAAAACCATAATCTAGGGTCAACATCTCACTTCAATAATTAATTAAAAATGAACAAATTGTCTAGAAGAGTTGTTATGCTGAATAGTTCTGATGATTGAGAAGAATGAATTGAAGACATCAAACATTTAATAAATCTTCACTGATTGTGACTGTATGTCAATCTGACAAAAGAAATACATTCCAAACTTCAGAAATCTGTTATAAAGGATTTTCTTTCTTCTAAAAAAACTGAAGAAACTGCAACTCCTGTGGATATGAAACATGCAAGAAATATGCAAAGAGATTGATACAGAACTTGAGAGAAGAGAATCTTAGTGATGCAAGAGCTACAAAAAACAATAAGAGATTGTATAGATCTGTCTCTGAGAATTCTTACAATAAGTGAATTGAATGATGTAGAAGCTACTGCAAAAGAACATCTGAAAGCTCTATATGCTAGAAATGCAGTGAATGCTTCTCAATTGAAAGCTAGACTAGTAGAGAGATTCAAAATTCTAGAAGATGGATCAAAGAATCAAGTGATTGAAGCATATTTACTAAACTATGAAGAAGCATTAAATTGAGCCACTGTGTATGATATATGTGAATATATCTGCAAGTCTTTTGCCTCCAAATAATTTCTGAGAGCAATCTCTCAGAATTACAGAGAGTTCTTCTATATGTATCTGTCAAAGCTTCTAACTGAAGAGAATTTGAATCAGAAGCATGAGCTGAATGTTTATAGACATATTCAAATATTTTGGCAGACATTAAAGAAGAATTCTGAGCCAGGTCAACAGAATAAGCTGTCAGCATATTCCACTGAAAAGATAGTTCAAAATAAGCTGTTGGGAGAGAATAATGGAAATATGAACTCTGCATGTCTTTGTGGAGAGCACCATGGTTGGGTGTACTGCTCATATTTTAATCCACTTGTTCAACCAATGGGCTGGAAACCAGATCCTAAAATTGATAATAAGGTCAAGAAAGCATTGAAGAATCCAGTGAATGACAGAAAATTAAAGAAAAAGATTGCAAATTGAAAGAAATCAAAGAATTTAAATGCTAATGAAGAAGTTGATGCTTTGAGCAATGCAACAGATGATGATACTAACAAAGTCATTGTCAAGACATCTTCTAATCTGACTATCTTTGCTTCTGTAATGGTTTTTAACTCCACTAACATGAGTGATAAATATGAACCCTATTCATTACAGGACAGCTTCATATTAGATGGAGGTGCAGATGCACATATTTACAATGATTTTACAAGATTTCAAAACTACTGAAATGCTGATTCTTCAGATATTGTGCTCATTGGAAATACTCATTGTAAAATTCATGAATATGATGATGTTGAAGTTTATACCCAAATGCTGACAGATGCTGGCAAGATATTACTAAAGAATGTTCTATATGTTTCTGGCTTTCATATAAATCTAGTAGTGCACAGATTGCTGTGTGCAAAGAGTTGTTATTTGGATGACAAGTCTCTTATAATTTACTATGCCAGTACAAGGGATATCTTGTTCAATTTGACTGTTAAAGAGAGAAAAATGGTTGTTGAATACAGATCTATTAACATTGCAACAGACAGTATAACAAAGAGTGTTTTTACTGCCTCATTGAGCAGAGATTTAATTAAAAAACTGTTGACAGTATTGATCTTCAGTTTGCTAGAAACAATGAATATTTGACATTTGAGACTTGATCATCTAGAAAGAGAGTCTCTGACTCATCTTCTGAAGATGTCTATCAATGTGAAATTTGCAAAGATTCCTTGAGATTCTCTAATGATGGAGTGCAGATCTTGCACTCTTTCAAAAGCAAAGCAAATCATATGCAGAATGCTGTCAGAAAGATCTACACATCTGTTTATGAAGATGTCTGTTGATCTCATACAGTTTGCTCCAGATTATAATGAAGATAGGTGGGTGGTTCACTTATATTGTGATTATACCCACCTGCACTACATGGAAACAATGCAGTGAAAATCCAAAAGTTTGACATGCACAGCAAAAATGATAAGAATAATTCTCAATTTATATCAATTGACTATCTTGACTATTTGAATTGATGGAGAGATCTCTATGCAGTCAGAACTGACAGTGTTGACTTGAACATATGATATAGTTGTTCAACATTCAGCACCCTACACACTAACTCAAAATGGAGCTGCAGAACATGTGGGAGCTTTAATAACAACAACAGCACATACAATGCAAATTGAAGTCAACTTGTCTGAGAATTTGTGGTCAGAATGTGTCAAGACTGCAGCATATATTTTAAACAGAATTCTGATTAAAGATCTTAGTTGAAACACTTCTCTTGAATTCTTAGAGAAATATCTTCAAACTGCAACTCCTTTAACTGAAATTAGACATATAAGAGTTTTTGGCTGTAGAGCATATCCTTTAATTAAGAATGCATGATATGAAAGAAATCAGAAGCTGACTTCTAGAGCAGAAGTTGAATATCTCATTGAATATGAATCAATGAATATTTTTCACATTTGGATTCCAGTATGATGAAAGATTATATTAATGAGAGATGTTATATTTAATGAAGATATGCTATTTGATTCTAATGAGATTAGCAGTGAGCTTTTATTACAGAAGAGCTTCATTATGTCAGATACAATATCTTTTGTTGAAGTAAGTGATATTAACAAGATGAGCTTGAGTGAGCATGACAGCAAAGATGAAGACTCTGAGGAGGATACACCATGTGAAAGTCACAAGACTGTTGATCAGTCAATAAGATTGATGAAAACAATGACTAAGACACTAACTGATCAGTCAGAAGAGACATGTGCATTGTCAACATCAGAATCTACATCAGAGCTGTTGACTTCAGACATCTACATTCAATCTCTTCTGAATGGTCCAACAATGTCATTGACTGAAATAGAGACACTGGATCAACTTTTGTTGACAGCCAATCATTCTGCTGTGGAAGCTATGGGAATGATGAGTGGTGTTGTAGTTGAGCTGTCTGAAGATATAACATCTACTACACTTTCTGCTGCTAGCTCTATGGGGGTGGTGAGCACAAATGATGAACAATTAATAGCCAATTGTTCTGCTGCAGAGGTGGTGAGCACTAATGATGGAATTTTGACAGCCAATCATTTTGCCATGAAAATGGTGAATGACTCAGTTGATGTGAGCTCAAGTGTGGAGCAACCTTCTAGGTGAAGTGCTAGAATAAAGCACCAAAACACAGATCAAATTGACAGATGAACAGCTTATACAGCAATTCTGCAGCAAACAGCACATTTGGATTCTTTTTATAGAGACTATTTAACAGCTTTTACAATTATGAATTCTAGACTCCACAGAGAGAATCTTCTGAAGTCTTCAAAGTATTATTTTTCAATGTTGCAACATCCACATGCTGGTGACTTTAAGACTGCAATGGATGTGGAAATGGAGAAGCTATGAATGAAGAAATGCTTTGAAGAAGTAGAGAGTTTGGAAGAAATATGTCCAATCTCTTTAATGTGAATTTATATGTACAAATTTGATGTTAACAGTTTTTTGGAATGTTATAAGGCAAGACTTGTTTTTCACAGAGATCTGAATACCAATAATAAACATGACACCTACACTACTACTCTTGCTGTGTGAATATTTCATCTTTTAATGGCTATAACAGCTTATTTTGAAATGGAGACCTTTCAGATTGATGCTGTTAATGCATTCATTAATGCTTCATTTAATAAATCTGTTTATTGCAGGCCAGCAGAGAGTTATGATAAGAAAAGAGATGTTTGAAAAATTCTACATGTCTTATATGACCACTCTGAATCTCCATGACTCTGATATGAAGATCTTACTTCAACACTCCAGAAACTAAAATTCTGTCAGATTTGTGAAGAATCATGTCTATTCATTGATAAGAATATTATTATCTTCTTTTATGTGAATGACATAGTATTTTTATATCACAGAAAGAATGTTGGAACATTTGAGCAGTTATTGAAGAATCTATGAGTGCATTATGAGCTTTGAGAGATTGAAGAGCTAGAGTGGTTCCTAGATATCTGTGTCTTACATGATAGAAATGCTCAGAAGCTTTGGCTGTGCCAGAATAGTTATATTGAGAAGATTGCTAATAAGTTCAATCTTATGAAGTTGAAGCCATCATGTATGCTAATGGTAACTGCAGATATAGCTTCTTATATGAGAGTGCAAGATAAGCAATGAATACATGTCTATCAACAGAAGATTGATTCAGCTCTCTACACTGCTATTGTAACATGATCTGATATTTTGTTTGCTACTGCAAAATTAAATGAGGCTTTGATTAATCCAGAATCAGAACACCATACAGCAATTGAGAGAGTTATCTCATATGCTTTTTCAACAAAGTATTATGCTCTTGAATTCCATGCCAAGAGAGAGTTGAATACTCAGAATGATAATAATGATGCTGTAAACACTCATTTAATAATCATCAGTAATTCTTCTTTTGCAGATGATTTGGACTCTAGACACTCCTCTCAGAACTTTATATTCAAGCTCTTTGAAGACTTGATTGATTGGAAATTCTCCAGACAAAAGACTGTTACAACATCTTCAATGAAAGCTGAGCTTTTAGCACTATTCTATACAGCAAAAGAGACCATGTGGTGGAAATGCTTATTTAAGAATATTATGTTGAAATTAGAAAGAGATTTTGATATTTTATGTGATAATTTGCAAACAATACAGTTACTGATTTCAGCAGCTCTGCAACTAATTATCAAGCTCTGTCATGTTGATATTCATCACCACTGATTATGAAAAGCAGTTACTAATAAGAAATTGAATATTATCTGAATTGAAAGTGATAATATGTCTGCAGATGGCTTAACAAAGATCTTACCTAGACAGAAATTTGAAAAATTCATTAAGTAATTAAAACTCATGAATATTGATTATTTAATAGAAAGGGGTTTGCCACCTACATCACTGCCAAAGCTATGAGAGTGTGTTGAGCAGAAGTCAGATGACTTGTCAGATGATCAGATCTTCAAAGAAGAAACTGAAGAACTATAGATTTGTCATCTTCTTCTCTTGATCATGATACTGATTTCATTATCTTTGTCTATTGGGCTGGTGGAGGTTTGCTAGGGGTTTTTCATATGTTTTTCTCATAGTCTTGATTATAGCATGTTCATCTATAAGTATCTGTGTCTCATTTGTTAGGAGCAAGACCAGACGCAATATTATAGACGCTCAGTCACATGATCATCACGTGCTCCTGTGTCGTCCGATAACTAACTACGGAGTACGGAGTACGGAGTAACTACCTACCTACCCAGCTCTGACTACTCCGTACCAGGCAGATAGCCGTACGAAGTACGGAGTACTCCACAGTTAGTTGACATCCCTGTCTCCAGATCGACAGGACGACAACAACCTCCTCTCCGACGCCATCTCGCTTCTTCTAACGTGCATTGGCTTCCGACAATGCCGCTGTTGTGGAGTGCATGCACTAGTTAGTTATGCATGCTTATCACTGCCGATCCCCGTCGAGTTCCCGAGTCGACAGCGTCCAGTGGCACTCAACGTGTGCAATATTCGGTCACTCTTCTCTCATTTGTCGGCTGACGTTCCTTGTTGCGGGAGAAATCTGTGCCCCCGTTATGTGCAACCAATAAATCACGGTGTACTCCATACTGAGTACGGAGTACTCTCTCTCTGGTTCTTTTTCCCCCTTCCTTAACATCCCTCAATACCCTCATCATGCTGTTACTTGTTTCTCCAATCCTTTTTTTTACTCCTATAATAGACTGTGTTTCTACAGAGCACTCCATGCTCCGTCATATTGTCCATTTTAACCCGAAATCTTGACTCTGACGAAGAACGACTCGAACTCGAACCTATTCTTTCATTAATTGCTGAAATCACTTTCTAAGGGGCTCTCTTGGCCATGTCAGGTACCAATGGAGCCACGAATGGCACAAGCCATGCAAATGGAACAACTTCGAGCGGCACATCTAAAACTGATATCAACTCCACGAAAGTGGCTAATAGTCGCGTTCAACGCCCTGAAATTGACAGCACCTTCAAGCAATATGCTCAGCTTATCCATGCCGCCAGACGGCCATTACCAAAGCAGTCTGGCGATGGATCTTATCTTGCTAGCCCCAAGGAGACCTCGTCGCTTTTGCAGGATTTCTTGTCCATAGGCCCTAGGGGAATAGGAACGTTGCTAACTGTAAGGAAGAACAAAAAGTCCGGCGACCTTGTTGATGACAAGACTTATATCATGGAACGTGTAATTCAGGTATGCCTAAGAATACTTCTTGATGCTTCGAATAACAGTGCCTTCAAGGACGTCATCAGCTAATATCGACCAAATAGCTCGTGGCTGGGCTTCCTCCGCAATCCAAAATGCGTGTGGATTTGACAAACGCATTTGTTGCAGAGCTCTGGGATACACTTCCTCATCCTTCCGTACCGTATTTAGCCCTCCAATCTGTCACATACTAATTGGGGTAATGATGGCTGACCACCTGAGAAGGGCGTTTGGCGACGAATACAAGTACCGGTCCGCAGACGGATCAAATAATAACCCTCTTTTTCCAAAACTTGGTGCTGCTAATACTCCTTATGCCCGGTCAATTATTCCATCAACAGTTCAACCTGGTGCGCTACCTGACCCAGGACTTATTTTCGATAGCATTTTCGCCAGACAAAAATTTAAACCGCACCCCAATGGTGTCTCTAGCGTTTTCTTTGGTTGGGCCTCTCTGATCATCCATGGTACGGGTTTTGATTCTCCCTCCGTAACAATGCACTGACACAGATAGACCTCTTCCAAACGGACCATCGAGATCCAAATATCTCCCAAACATCGTCTTACCTTGACCTTTCAACATTATATGGGGATAACCAGGAGGATCAAAATCAAATACGAACTTTTAAAGATGGGAAGTTGAAACCTGACTCTTTCTCCGAGCCAAGACTTTTGGCTCTTCCCCCAGTTTGCAGTGTTATGCTCATCATGTTAAATCGGTAATTATGCATTCGATCGTCATTCCGGCTTGAAAGGTTGCTGACCTTATTAGATTCCATAATTACGCTGCGGAGCAGCTTGCACATATCAACGAAGGAGGCCGTTTCAGTAAGCCTAGATCTGGTCTTTCTCCGGATGAATCTTCGAAAGCGTGGGCAAAATACGACAATGACTTGTTCCAAACTGCCCGCCTGTAAGCATACCAATGCATATTATTGCCTAGATCATTATTAATGCTAGCAAGGGTTACTTGTGGTCTTTATATTAATATCACACTATATGACTATGTGCGTACCATTATTAACTTGACGCGAAGCAACACAACCTGGTGCTTGGTATGTCCAGTATTTTCTCTTTCAGCACCACACATGTTGCTAATTCGGAAAGGATCCACGAGTGAATATGCGAAAAACTTCCGCCCCTGAAGCAGCGTCAAGTGGTGTTGGCAACCAGTGCTCTGTTGAATTCAACCTTGCTTATCGATGGCATTCTTGTATCGGACAGCAGGACGAACAGTGGACCGACCATATTTATGAAGACTTATTCGGCAAGGCAGCTGAGGATATTACCCTACCCGACCTCCTGATGGGGATGAAACAGTGGCAGATGAAATTACCCAAAGACCCGGCTCAGAGATCCTTTGCCGGCTTAACACGTGGCCCTGATGGCAGATTCAGTGACGACGACCTTGTTAAAATAATGACTGATAGTATTGATCAGATTGCAGGTATGTGTCCATGTAGTTAGATCTTACGCATGGCATACTGTGGTGCTAAACGTCTTACAATAAGGATCCTTTGGACCTCAGAATGTCCCAAAAGCTCTTCGGGCAGTTGAAATTTTGGGTATGCAGCAAGCTCGCAAATGGGGCTGTGGCTCTCTTAATGAATTCAGGAAGTTTTTTGGGCTGAAAGAATACACAACGTTTGAAGAGATAAATTCAGACCCTTACATTGCCGACCAGCTTCGCCATCTATATGAACATCCAGATCATGTTGAATTATACCCTGGAATTGTGGCAGAAGAACCTAAAATTCCAATGGTGCCAGGTGCTGGGATATGTCCAACATATACGCTGTCTCGTGCGATCCTCTCAGATGCAGTAGCCTTGGTTCGGGGTGACAGGTTCTATACTGTATGGATAACCACCAAAACAATCTAGTACGGTACTAATTCACTCGTTTAGACGGATTATCATCCAAAAAGCCTAACGAACTGGGGCTTTGCGGAGACGCACTATGACCTGGGCATCAATCAAGGTTGCGTATTCTACAAACTAATGCTACGATCCTTCCCAAATCATTTCAAGCCAGATTCGATATATGCACACTACCCAATGACTATTCCCGGTGAAAATAGAAAGATATTTACAGATTTAGGGCGGGTTCATCACTACTCGTGGGACAAGCCCGCATTTATCCCACCTCGTGTAAACATAACATCTTACACTGGGGCTAAAATTGTTCTGAAGAATGCTAAAGATTTTAGGGTCACTTGGGGGGAAGCTACAGGCCTTTTATTCGGCAAGGAGGGATTAAATTTCATGCTTTCAGGAGATTCACCAAAACATGGAAAACAGAGGCAGGTGATGGGCAAAGCGCTTTACCAAGATCATTGGAAACAACAAGTAAAAGATTTCTATGAAGACATAACTATCCAACTCCTCAAACAAAAATCATGCAAAATCGCCGGCGTCAACCAAATTGATATCACCAGAGAGTAGGTGTTTGTGTACGTCTTAGACTTATGTCTTCCGCGCTAATCATCCTTTTACAGTGTTGGCAATCTTGCACATGTCCATTTCGCGTCTAATATGTTCTCGTTACCTTTGAAAACAGAGGAAAACCCGAAGGGCATATTTACCGAGCACGAAATGTTCATGATCATGTGTGTAATTTTCACCTGTATTTTCTTTGACCTTGACCCGGTGAAATCGTTCCCTTTGCGCCAAGCATCCCGCACGGTTGCGCAACAGCTAGGGAAGATTGTTGAGGGATATGTTAGGAGTGTTAAAGCCACGGGGATCGTGTCCGGAATCGTCGACCGCTTTAGAAAAAATGGATCGGCCCTGAAAGACTATGGAGTCCATATGATTCGGCGACTTTTGGAAAGCGGTCTGAGTGTTGAAGAAGTCACTTGGTCACAAGTCATGCCTACCGCAGGAGCCATGGTCCCCAATCAAGCCCAGGTGGTAAGCGGCTCATTAGTTTTCGTGATAACCAGCTTCAATGCTTACGCTAAACTCTTCGCGTGAACCAGTTCACACAAATTATAGATTATTACCTTTCGGAGGACGGCCGTGTCCACCTCCCTGAAATCCAACGCTTGGCTCATGATGCCAGCCCTGAATCTGACGACAAATTGCTTCACTACTGCATGGAAGGTATCCGGCTTAATGGTACATTCGGCTCTTACCGCGAAGCGGCTGGAGTCATGGAGATTGACGATGACGGACGTCGAGTATCTATTAAGCCAGGGGATAGAATCTTCGTAAGCTTTGTTTCTGCAAATCGCGACCCTAATATTTTCCCAGACCCAAACAAAGTTCGACTTGATCGGCCTCTGGACTCTTACATCCACTATGGAGAAGGCCCTCATACCTGTATAGGAAAGGATGTAAACATGATAGCGCTCGCCTCAATGCTTCGCGTTGTGGGGAAACTGAAAAACTTGCGTCGCGCGCCAGGTCCTCAAGGTGAATTAAAAAAGATTCCTCGCCCTGGTGGATTTTACATCTACATGCGTGAGGACCAAGGCAGCTTCTTTGTGTTTCCCATGTGTGAGTACTTGGAAATCTTCGCATAATTCATTAGGCATTTACTGACTTGGCTTTTAGCTTTCAAAGTCCATTTCGATGGGGAGCTACCAGAGCTACGGAAGCAGAGGTAGAGTTTATTCTATTTGTATAGGATGACAGGTGTTCTACCAGCTTCTAGGGTATCTGGGTTGTGTTTGTTAGCACTCGTCTTCGCTCGGTTTAATATGCTTGCCTGACTGTTAATGTAGCTAGCATTCTTCTAGCAGTTATCCATAAAAATTAATCATCTCTCGCTACCAGTCGACACAATGCTGTAGTTAATTTAAAGCCTATTCTATCTACTAGTTTACCAGCCGGTCAATCAAGCCCATATAGTTTCAGTAAGCGCGCACTGCTCTTGAGGATGTAGTAAACTTCGTTTGGAGCACATCTGGTGCTGTAGCAGGCAACGCTTGGCGATGAAGTTGGTTGGACGTCACTGTACTCCGTACTCCGTATCCGAACCATTAACTACGCTTGGCATTAATGATGACCACTAGTTAGTTCTCGACGCGTGCAGAATCCGGGGTACATGCTGATGTGCCCTCGAGCGAAGGTATCGACATGCGGTATGAGTGCTGATCCATCATCTTGAGAGCCTTGTGTTTCGGATGCGACATGCCTCCCAAAGCAATCAAGGGCGAATATATTGAAACCGCAAGTCCATCGCCCTCCAACACCTTTGCCTTCGCTAAATGACAACTGCTTCTACAGGACACTGGAAACAAGGTTTCGCGTCGTAACCAAGTCCATGGCACGCAACACATTATTCTCGGCGGTAAAACTGTCATCCAAGCCGACGTTTGCATTCGCGGAGACCTATATCGGCAGCAGCCCGCTACGCCGTCCTCGGCCAGTGCCCCTGGCGGCACTACTAGCAACCCCAACACGCCATCTGTAGCCGTAAACGTTGGCCGCTACACCTACCTCTCACGATCTTGTCTGCTCCGCCCACCATCGAGGCTCAACCGAGGCACCCATTCATACTATCCTCTTAAAATCGGTGACCACGTCTTCATTGGGGAGCGTGCTGTCATCGAGGCGGCTTCGATCGGGAATCATGTCCATGTTGGGAAAGATGCCGTAGTTGGATGCATGGCAATTTTGAAAGACTTTGTCGTGGTGTTGGATGGCGCCGTGGTTCCAGCCGGGATGGTAGTGCCGAGCTTCTGTGTTGTTGGGGGTGCTCCGGCGCGGGTAGTAGGAGAAGTCGGCGAGGGATTTGGCATCGAGGGAGCCGAGGGCGGCATGGCAAGGGAGCGGTACCGGCTGGTGGGAAGATAGGAACCCTAAACGCGATTACATGGATCTGTGATAAACTATTTAGCCAGTTTGTTTTTGTGGATGATTATGTGCATTTGTGCAAGGCGTCCTGATATGGCCCTCAGCCAAATGTTCTAAGGGTTTAATAACTTCAATTATGCTTTTAACATACATGAAGCACTGAAAAGGAATGTATGTTACAAAAATATATTGTGCAAACCCAAGGGATATCGTCAAAATGAAAGCAGACAATGTGCTTGCATCAAAAACAGGCAGGGAAAGCAGGTCATAAACTCCACAAGAATTCGAAACAAATGCATATGTCACATCAACCGTCATTATAACGCATCAACAAGGTTCAAACACAGCGCTTAAGGCGCAGCAGCACTATTCTGGAAAGCCAGGCGGCCCGCAGAAGCCGAGAAATCTTCGAAAATATACTAAAGAACCTATTACTATTTTCCCTGCCGTTGCTGCTGCGTTTTGACATTGTTAGAAAGCCAGGCCTACGCAACATTAGCATCTATTCTGGTTATGCAAAAATAAAGAGTAACAGACCAGGCCTTCAAATAAGCCTTCACCAGTTGTTGCACAGCTTGGCACAACAAACCATATTCTATCTTTAAGCTGATTTAATTGGAGTTTTTCGGTTACTTCCTTTGGGTCCATGGCTACGCGTGGTGTTAGCAAGACGTTGACAGGCTGCAGATACGCTATGCCGAGCCCAAACTCACCACCTTGAATATCCTGCTTATTTGCAAAAACGAGAAGTAAAGCCTCTTTCATTTCACGATCTAGAATGATCCGATGCAGCTCCTGCCGCGCTTCATCTATGCGACTGCGGTCATTGGAATCAATGACGAAGATGAGACCCTGGGTGCCTGAAAAATAGTGTCTCCATAAAGGTCGAATCTTATCCTGGCCACCAACATCCCACACATTGAACTTGACATTTTTGTACGTCACTGATTCGACATTAAAGCCAACAGTTGGGATGGTGGTGACGTCTTGGTTGAGCTTGAGTTTGTAGAGAATGGCTGCAGCACATAAGAGTTAGTCAGGGGGAAAGACCAATCAAGGGATCTAGATCATTGCACGTACTTGTTTTTCCGGCAGCATCCAGACCCAGCATGAGTAGGCGCATCTCCTTGGATCCGAAGATCTTGCCCATCAATTTCGAGACCTGCCCTCCCATCGTGACACGGGTGACTGGGGGCTCAAACGTGGTGCTCACAAGTCCAGCCCTCGGCGAGTGACGAAATCCCCAGCCACAAAAACACAGCCAAGCACAGCTGTTGATACAGACAATCTCCGTTTTCAGCTCGGCGTTCGATGGCGGTCGTCGCTTGTCAATGTAAGCAATTTGCGCCTCCTTGTCGCGCGCGTCCCAAAGCAGCAAACTAACTACCTAGTCACGTGGCTGTTACAGCGAACCACAAAACCTTGTTACTCAGCACGCGGCAACGACAAGCATCTGACAATCCTCCTCTCTTGTGGCTGCTGGCCAGCTTCTCACCAACCTCAACTGTCGTCATGGCGTCACGTTTCCCAAATTATGCCTAGCGACTGCTATTTGGACAAATCTCAGCTGGTGGTCTCTTTTTGATACAGTCACTAACTACTCCATATACAGCTTCCATACACCTCAAACTACTCTTTGAAGATTTCTTCTTTCCATCCTGCTAACATAGATCTACATTTTAAGAATCATTATACAACGCTTCCATACAAGGTGCCTACGCACCTATCAGTGAGCTAACTAGTTACATTATCGCTGTTCACCACCACGACAATGACTGCAGGCATCACCACCCGACCTTGCGATCGCCATGGCACACCTCCTCACCCTGCCCCCCGAGCTGCTCGATCTGGTGCTGTCACTGCTGGCCCCACCTGTGCCCTCGCTGCTCCGCCTCCGCGCTGTCCCCGACCATCTCCTCTCCGCGTCCCCCATCTGCAGCCTCAAGGCAGTCTCCCTTGTCGCCTGGCGACTGCGCGTTCTATCGCAACCGCATCTGTTCTCGCATGCCCGCTATGAACTTAGCGACCAACACCGGTTTCTTACCTTTGTTGAAGAAAACGGCCTAGGTCGTCATATCCACTCCCTCGTTGTTTCGGTACGCCTCGCCACTGAGCAGCCCTCACGCTGGTGGATGGCACTTCTGGAACACGTCAATCCGGAGATTCTTACTATAATCGCACCACCATGTTTCCTCGCTCAGCTGGCCCATGTAGGCCTGGAAGACACACATCCTTGGGCCTTTGACTTGCCGTTCCAGATACTCCACTTGCGTCGGCCGCCACAGAAAATCTCTCGCTTCCAGGCAGCCTCAGCTCCTCACACTACCTCCGGCTCTGACACGACCACGGAGTCAGCGTCCATATTTACTGCCTGCCCGTGGACCGAGATCCTGTTCAACGAGGGTTCATCCCTTCAGGGATATCGCAACGATGGCTACTTCTTGCTACGCCTTCCGTCGTTCATGGACCATTGGGGATATGCTGATTTTTTCGATACTAGTGCCCTCCCCTATTCACAGACAGCTATATTGCGCCTAACATCTTTCCATTACACATCAATATTCCCGTTTTACAACCACACCAACCTCGTGTTAAGGATGATTCGGAATATGGCCAATCTCCGGCATTTAAGCGTCCAGCTCGCCCCCTCTCCTGGAGACCTTACCCGTATCTTCAACGAGGATAGTAACCTGGGCCACATGGACCCAAGCGACCCATGGATGGAGCTGGATACGAGCTACTCACTCATATCGCATTGTGTCAAATATCTCGGACAAGAGGGAAAACTAGAGGAATTCCAGACTTGGGATTTTGAACTGGAAGCATTGAGAGACAGCATCCTCGAAAAGATGGACAGCCGATTACGCGGTAGATGGTCCCATCGTGGGATGGGCGTGTGGACTAGGCTAGGTCCATTAGACGACGTTACAGTTTTGGATACTGAGAGTGATTGACATATGATGTATTCTAGAATGTCATTTATTCCAACTGTATGACGGAGTCTTTGCCTCAGTGATTCACGTTCTCCCCATCTTCCTCGGTTTTCCAAACTATTTAGGCCCGCCTGCTAGGTTAGCGTGTTTTTTAATCCAGTCGCTCACAGAGCCAATTCGAGCGTAAAGACCTCCATATTTGGTTGCACAATCGAAGCCTGCCGACACAATACCAACCAAAATATCGGTCCCTGTCAGATACAAAGGCCCTCCACTGTCATTTTGGCATGCATCCTTACCCTCCTCTCCTGCACAGACGCTAGTTTCTGGAAGGGTGTAATTTTTTTCTTTCTTCAACAGGGCCGCACACTCACCACGCCCAATAACATGAACGTTCACATACAGCAGATCGTCCGAGTTCTCCCCTTGGTGAGTGGTAAGTCCCCTGTTTTGACTATGAGCCTGCTTTTCTTCCCGCAAGATAGACATTAGACACATACCAGCCTACTACTGTTACATTTTCGCGGTGTTTAGGGTCATGGCCTTGTTCGACCAGCTTCGCATACCCAATATTGGGACCTTCAAGAGGGTCCTTCAAGAACAATAAACCAACGTCGATAGGACCCGGATATCGGAGAACAGACTGGACCTTGGATTCGGTTCCATTTCTATTCCATGCCTGCAGACTAGTGAGAATGGGCTGTATATTTATAAAAACAAGAGTGAGGGAAGATTACGAGAGATCCTCCATAGACGGACATTTCACTACCATCCCCATCAATACAGTGCTCTGCAGTGAGAACGACGTTGGGGCTGAGCAACGCAGCTCCACACTGGTGGACGCCGTTAGTAAGTGTGGCCGCCATAGAAGGGAACTGGCCCGGCTTTGCTTTGGTTCCGCCGATGATTCTCGAGCTGCCAGAGGGTGCATAGAATGCTGCTGCCGACGAAACTGCCGGCAGCACGAGGGTAGCTGTAAGAGCAAGGAGTTTTGTCATGCTGTAATGTATAGATACTAAGCAGCACGACAAGATGGCTGCTCGGGATATTGGCCCTCCTGAGTCTAGTGGGGATATTTATATGTGCAGCCCTACCCTCTTCTTGTAGATTCGGTACGCGTAGTATTACCAGGGATCGACTGCAATGCAACCTCCAGATCGTTTATTGCTTGGGCGAAGCAGTGGACTGTCACTGACGTGTTGCTACCGCCAAGGAATGATACCTCGGCGTTTCTGTCCTTATGACAATGGGGAATCGAATGCAGCGGGAATCCAATGTTTAACAGCCGATGGCCACCTAGGCTTCGCGCCTGCGGCTGCATGTCGAGAAATACTCTTGTCACATGCCATGGTAAGGCGTTGAAGCTGAGGATCGTGGGAGTTATCTACCTCACTGATAACTAACTAGTTGACTAACTAACTACAAGGTCCTTGAAAACGTCGCGGATTATGGCAGCAGACACGCGTCTCACGTTGTATCTCACATGTAGGCATTGGTACTCCACTACAAAGGCGGGGTTGTCCAGGGCCATCGAACTGCTTCGCTAGGGCCGGCTTCTCTGGTTGGGCGGCTTGGGTTTGCCCAGCATGTACCTGCACATCAAGAATCATTAATTGGTTACGCGTTCCCTTACGGGCGAAAAAAGTCTTCAACATACTTTGCAAAGGCCCGCGACAGGGTTTTTTTACAGCTAACCTTCTGGCTGCCGACAAAGGATTCAATCGCCACGGCAATTGCACGGTCAATGTCTCTCGGCGTGCAGTATTCCGCCAGCCGCATCTTAGCAAATGATTCTGCAATGCGCATTATAGATTCGAGATGTCGGACCTAGTAAGCCGTTATTAGATGCCCTATGCGGCAGGGTTGGAGCACTCACAGTAATCGGGTATGCTCCTGTCGCTAAACTCTCCTTTCTCATGTCGGCAAATACATCCGCCACTTTACCCTGATCAATCTGGTACAGTTTTGGCCGACATTCCCGCCGAGCATACACAATATACTTTCTCAGTAGATCCTGGGGCACTGGCTCAGGTTTCATCGGGTCATCTTCGTTTTCCCCGGTGTCGTTTGTGTCTCCATCTTCATCGTCTTGAATCACATCTCCCTGCGAGTCTCGTGCGGGGTTGGACTTGTAATGGGAGTTGATCACAAACCTCGCGAGCCGTTCGTCTTCGGTATGGTAAACAGTGTCGCGGACCACGCAAAGTATGTCAAAACGAGAAAGAATGGGTTCTGTAAGCTCCACGTTCTGGGAAAATGGAATTGTGCCTTTGTATCTGCCACCGATGGGATTCGCGGCGGCAACAATAGAGCAGCGCGCCTGGAGCGTGGTCACGATACCTCCTTTCGAAATAGAGATAGTCTGCTGCTCCATGGCCTCGTGAATGGAGGTGCGGTCCTGGTCATTCATCTTATCGAATTCATCGATCAGACAAGTTCCTCGGTCGGCAAGGACAAGCGCGCCACCTTCGAGCGTCCATTCGCTGGTCATCGGGTCTCGCCGTACATTGGCCGTCAGGCCAACAGCACTAGCGCCCTGGCCCGTTGCAAATACTGCTCGGTGCGCTGTTTTTTCCACATACTTCAGCATTTGGGATTTGGCAGTGCCCGGGTCACCAAGAAGTAGAACGTTGATGTCACCGCGGATGTTCATTTTGCCTTGTGCTTGTTTACTTACTCCTCCAAACAAAGATAGCGCAATAGCAGTTTTGATATCTTCGTGTCCATAGATACTGGGCGCAATAGAATTAACAATTCTCTCAACAATAAGCGGATCTCGGGATAGCTTTCGAATCTGCTCCTCGTCCTCTTCAGTGATGTGGAAGGATGCAAGTTCGTCATGCGACTTCTTGATGTGGTTCGCTTCGATAATAGTGCTAAAGACAGGTAACCCAGTCTTGTTGGTCATCGGAAGATCGTACTGGTTCTTGTATATGCCGGTTATCTCAACCTCGTCTCCAGGCTTTGCCACATCAATCAGGTCGGCAAGCAAAATAACATCTCGATGTCGTGGAAGACGCCCACCAGGTACCGACCCAGGAGACTCTTGTAGCGTTAGTTTTTGATAGTTTCGATACTCGGTTTTAATAGAGTTAAGGGTAAAGGGGCCACGCCCTTGACAGTTCTGGCAGTATGTGATCTTCAACTCTGAAGAAGAATCTTGCTGTTCAAAAGGGCCTAGAGACACACCACATTTGGTGCAGGTGAACATGATATATTTGAGTTGGGGAAAAACCCCCGTTCTTCGAGTAACAACCCCCGTGACGCAAACAAGGCAATTAAGGTGACTCTGGCGAAGCTGCCTGAGATTGTATCGAACCGGGAGATCAGTGATGCGAACATGAATCTCACTGTGTATGCGGTGGTAATCTGGATAATGTAGTAGGACAGCCTCCATTGCGACCGTGTCAAAGATTCTCAGTACTTCGGCGGGTGCATTGGCAACGAAGTAACTGATAATAGATTTCGCCTCGCTGAGATGTGGGTAAGAAATTTCCAGTGACTCCGAATTGTCCTCTCCGAGATTTTTCACGGCAGTTCCATAGACAGATAGTCCATCTTTATCTGTAAACTCAGTTAAGAAAGATTTAAACTCCCGGTAGATAGCACGATGCACCGCCGGAGACGCAACCCAGTCAGTGACATTGTCAGCCTTAATATCTGCCATATCCTCCAGCGTGAGATCCTCGTCTGGATCATCCATGTCGATATCTGAACGGGCCTCATCGTAATTATGCCTTGCTCTTCGAAGCTGCGAAAGATCAATGGCATCGAAATCATCATCTTGCAGAAATGCTGCTGGCATTTTCCGTCGCCTGGTAAGCTCTTGGTCGCGCTTATTCAACCGTGATTCGAGTTTACGCCTGGTAGCGACATCCAATTCCTCGTGTTCCCCTTCGTCATCAATACCTGCAGCTTCGTAGTGGTCGTCTCCGCGAAGCTCATAGTCTCGCTCGAAGGAGTCTGCAAACAAATCAATTCCATCTTCATCCTCCGCCATTTCATCAATGTCATCTATATCTCTAAACCCTTCTTCTTGTGCCGCATCTTCGTCGTGCTCGTCTTCCAGGGGCAGGAGGGGAGGGGACGACGGTGGCGCTATATATCTGTAAGTATTATGCCCTGGGCATCATAATAAAAAGGCTTCTCACGGCTAGAGAGTGGAGGCGCTGAAGAGCCATCGTCGTCTCGCTCGCGGGATCTTTTCCTCCTGTTCCCAGTACTCAGCCCACGATTGGCGGCGGAAATGCTCGGGCGCAAAGGTGAACTGCACTGACGTTGAGTTAACGTACTCTACGGATTTTTGAACACCAACTCACCTCATTATTATGCCGTATGTTGGTGACAAAGTGTATTCGATCGATGCTCTCAGGGCTGTCAGTTGGAAAGCGAAACGCGCCCAGAAATCAATTAACGCGTCCCTGGTCCATATAGTTAGTTACGCGTCGAGGTTTGGAACTATGATAATTAACTCCGCTCACGCTAGACTAAAACAGGGCAGCATGCCAAACAGCGCAAACAACTTCGCGTCAACTTGTTCTCGCCGTCTCAAAGCCCAACATCGAGCGGCTATCGACCACGATCAGAGACGCTAGGCACCATCTTTCGTTCAAGCCAGTGAGGCCGGTCTTCGAAAGTTTACCGTGCCATGGATTCGCCACAATTGACCACAGAGACGACAGCTGGCCCCGAGGAAGCGCATCGACCGCGTCGCGAAAGCCATGCCTCCCACAATTCGCAAACTGCTGCGGAGTTAGTACAAACTCCCGGCATTACACGTTATCACTGCTTTACATGAACTAATCGGACTAGTTTTATTAACGAACAGCTGCAGCTAGAAGCTGATGCTCGCGAAGCTCTTCCATATGTATACTCGACCCTCTTACCCGCGATCCCCGTTTACTAACCTGTTAACAAGTCTTTCGATTCTTGCACTCGCCCTCTAGGCGCCTTGCGGCAAAGTCTTTTCTCTTGTTTGACCTGCAACCCTGCTCCTTCGGAACCGAATGCCCATTACACCCCAGCAGGCATTTGTTACTCTTGTTCCATCTCCTGCCATGGCGAGCATTCCCTTGTTGAGCTGTTTAACAAACGCAACTTTGTCTGTGATTGTGGGACTTCTCGTTTTCCGTCAACATCATCATGCACCCTTCGGTCGGGTCCGAATCCGCGGAGCAGCGTGGTACACTTGGATGAGCCAATCGCGGAGAACAGATATAACCAAAACTTTCAGAACAGGTTCTGTTGTTGCGGAGAAATATACGATCCTCACCAAGAGAAAGGCACAATGTTCCAGTGCTTAGGCCTAGGGGACGTAGAATCAGGTGGGTGTGGTGAGGACTGGTACCACCCCGAGTGCCTGGTCGGCATTCCTCGAGGAAGGAACGATGGCCCCAGAAATAATATCGACTGCTCAATCACTCCAGCAACAAAAGAGCCAGAATCTGCTGTAGAAGGAGACGACGACCCTCCGTTGCCACCCGGATTTCCTGCTGAAGATGATTTTGATACCTTCATCTGTTACAAATGTCTACGTTCGAATCTGTGGCTTAAACGATACGCTGGTACAGCGGGCTTTCTTCCTCCAGTTTTCAAGGAAAACAAGGGCCATTTCCCTTGTGAAGAGATCTCAACAGTACTTGATACTCCGAACGGCCAAAGGAAACGTAGTTTGGAGACAAACGGCCGGCAAGAAGAACCCGAGTCAAAACGCCCAAAAAGCGGTATTCCCGAGCAGTCATCCACGGAAAATTTAACCACCCTAGAAAAATATACAGAGAAGCACGATTGCCTTCCTTCTAACATGCCACTGGGGGAATTTTCTTTATTTCTTAAGGAGGATTTCCGTGATCACATCTGCCGCTGTGCAACCTGTTTCCCCCTACTTATTCCTCACCCACAGCTCCGCGAAGAAGAGGAGACATACGAACCACCTCTCTCCGATGCTGGCGGTGGTGATAATGCTGGATATAGTGCCGATAGCCAACATACAGGCAGCTTGCTTGATCGTGGGGAGGCTGCACTAAGCAATTTGGACCGGGTACGAGCAATTGAGGGCGTTATGGTCTATAATCACCTAAAGAACAAAGTAAAAGAGTTCCTAACACCGTTTGCTGAGAGTGGCACTCCAGTGGGCGCAGAGGATATCAAAGCGTACTTTGAGAAACTAAGAGGCGACGACGAGGCAATCAGGGAAGCGGGAGCTAAATGTAATAACTCTCATGGTGATGGAGGTGATAGTGCTTCGAGGAGGGAACAAAATGGTAAGTCAACACCTAGTGACTCAGTCTTGATTTACAAGCATTTCTAATGAAAAGATACCAGGATATTAAACATGTACATATGTATACTAAATCTTTGGCTATGAGTGATGATGTATCGAGAGCTGAGTGAAATAATTGAACAATAAAATGACGCTTGAGCAATAATCAGGATTACAGCCAGAAATCAGTTAAGAGACTTGTCAACACACAACATTGCTTGCCATTGGGTCATCTTCTGAATAGTCTCTATTTGAAACACATGCATCTCCCAATTCTGAAAGTCCATGGCTGTCGTCGCACGCCATGCCGGCCAACAGTAACGCCAGTGCTCACATGCCGACCGCCAAATCTTTTGGAGTAGAAGAAAGGCATTGCTTCGCCGTAGATGAAGATGTTCTGGTTTTGCTTAGTCGCCTGAGCTGCCATATGAATTTTCCAGGGGGTGGCAAGTATGTACATACATATGGAGGAGTATGGAGTTGCGTCTTGCGATCAACGTGTTCGGCGTAGTTAACTATCTCAGACATTAGTCGGAATCCTAAGCAGTAGGTACTATGAGTTTTTGGTGACCGGAAGGTATTTTGACTTACCCAGTGTAGCTGGGCCTCAAGCTGTGGAAGCCAGAACACCCAGGGCGGGGAAGTCGGTGGTATTTCAGGTATTCCTCACTGCCATGGTTCTTCCCATGCTGGTGTGACGTAGCTAGCTAATTAGTTGGTTAGTTAGGGGCCAAGCGCCGCCATGCATGGATAATCCCAGCAGTGTGCCGCGGCTTCACGTCGGTGGCTTGCCAGCCAAGCCAGCTCCGGCTCGAGAACGAGTCTGCCTACCTTACGGAGTACAGAATTGAACGAAGAATCGAGCAGAGTGCATAGAAGGGCTCGGCGTAGCAGGGCGAAGGCTGCGAGTTAAGCCCCCATAACCTGTGGAGGCGCAGGAGTGTGGCATAGTACTCAACTAACTACTCCATACCCCGTACATTCACTACAGCGACTGAGACACTCTCTAAGGCGAGGGGGTGCTTTGTCAGTGTCATCATCAACGGGATTATGTATATAGTAGAAGCTATAAGATTTGATTTGAGGAGATTTTGCTGCCGTTGGACAAAGACACCAAACGATCAATAATTATAATGCTATAAATCATGCAGAACTGTCTTCTCAAACACCAGCTAGAGTCCAAACACCGATAGTCGCCGTCTTCCAAATAAACAAAGGTACAATCTGAGTACAACGCCAGCAATGCATGCAATGTCGTAGAAAATCACAATTCTCTCACTCGCTTTGGGGCTCGACCAGCCACAGCATCATCCGGGAGACCGCTCCTCTTCGTTCCCGGAAGGCTGCTGGTCCGAATATCGTTGTCATCTTGGGTCACACGACGGTTGGGATACTTGCCCTCGAAGCCTTCAAAGCAATTCCGAGTGACCGGTGTTCCTGTTTTGAAATATTGGTGATTCAACGCTTCCCTTGCGGAGATTCGTTTGTCTGGATCGTATTCAAGCAGCCGCGAGAGCAAGTCAAACCCTTCCTTTCCTGGGGTCCCTGGAGGGGAGTTAGCCGAATAACCGCCGCTCTTTAGGCAAACATGGTACCACTGGTCTAGGTTTGACGGTTTATGCAAATGACCTGACCCCGGGGCCATGGTCAGCGTTTGTAATTGTGGAAACTCCGGCATTGAAGCCAGGCCGGGCCAGGCCTCCTTTTTGGGAAGGCCAAGGATCTCAATAATTTTCAGCATCTGATTTCGCTGAAAGGGAACTGTTTTTTTATTGTCCATCTTGGCTTCCTCTCCCTTGAATATGGGGCGTAAGGATAGCAGCTCAGCAAATATACAGCCAACAGCCCAAAGGTCGATGGCTGTGGTATAATGTCGGGCGCCAAGCAAAAGTTCAGGAGCACGGTACCAAATCGTCACTACCACTTTATCTCCGGAGAAAAGGGAGTTTAGGGGTTTGTAGAACACCCGTGCCAGCCCGAGGTCTCCTATTTTAACGGCACCTCTCGAGGTCACGAGGATGTTTGCTGGCTTCAAGTCGCGGTGCAGAATCCAGTTGGAGTGAATGTATAACAAACCATTCAGTAGTTGGAACATAATGGACTTAACCATAGGGGCTGGTATCGCATGTCGTTGGGGCTGGGTATGATGATGAATCACTTGCAGGAGGTCGTGTTCTGTGTACTCGAAAACCATATAAACGCATTTATCCTCCAGGATGGTTTCAACCAGGCGAACAACGTTGGGATGTTTTAGTTCATTGCACAAAGAAATTTCTCGAATGGCGGACTGCGAGAGACCGGTGTACTCGATTTTTTCGCCTTCTTTGTCTGGCTTGAATCTACATGCAATTAGCCCTCTGGCTTTTTAGTGGTTGTAAATTACCAACTTTTTGATAGCAAACTCCCCTCCTAAGCCCGTCTTACTCCTAGCTTTATACACCCGGCCGTACGTACCACTACTTATAAAACCAATGATTTGATACTTATCCCGAATTTGTACCCTCGGACGGTATGAAAATGGGGATTCGCTCTTCGCTTCTCCTTGGTCTAGGCGGTGGGAGCTATTAGCTTCCAGTCTAGGTGGAAAGTTTTACACAAATATAAGCAAAGACAGAATAAGAAATGGCCACAACAAGCGGCCACTTGCGTGTGTAAAAAGGCAGCCGCAAATTCATTGCAGATGACCAGAGGGAGATAGCACCAGTCAGACATAGGAAATTAACCCCAGGCGGGTGACGGATAAAGCTGCGAGAGAATCGGGCGAGACGCAGAACGTACCATCAGACAACTGCTGGGCAGAGCGCTTCAGCGGTAAGGTCAAATGCTTGCGCCTGGCGGCATTACTGGCAGCGAGCGATGACATTGACGGTCTATCAGCCAGCGGGGCCCGGCCCTTCGCAGGAGGCGCGTTGGCGAAGGTCATGGCGAGGCGATGGAGAGAGTTCGTCGTCCCTGAGGTTGAGGGGGAGCGGCACGTGATTGCGATCCAACGACGACGACAGCAGAGAGAGAGAAAAGACAACAACAGAGACAGAGACACACGGCTACAGAACACACACAACTGGCCACTACAGGCCCAGCTACCCTAGTATACAGAGCGGCCATGGCCGCCTCAGCCGCCACACCCTATCTGCTCCTGCTCGTCCTCATCACCACGCTGGGCCCGCTGCAGTTCGGCTACCACCTGGTAATCAACTCCCCTATCTCTTGCATGCTCAACTGACTTTTCACTCTGCTAGGCGGAACTGAATGCGCCCCAGGCTGCACTCACCTGCAATCAGCCGGATGTGGGCGGTTTGCAGCGCCGCTCTGCCTCGCCCTTCGCTGGCCTGCCATCCTGCATCCCCATGACTCCCTCCCAGTTCGGCTTTGTGTCCTCCAGCTACACCCTGGGTGGCCTGCTAGGTGCACTGCTCGCGGGCCCGTTTTCAACGAAGCATGGTCGTCTACTCGCCCTGCGCGCCACCACCATCTTCTTTGTTCTTGGCCCCATCGCCGAGACTCTGGCTGCTAATGTTCCGGTATTCGTCGCTGGACGGTTCCTATCGGGTGTGGGTGCCGGAGCAGCCATTGTCGTCGGGCCTATATACATCGCCGAGATCGCTCCACCAAGTAGCAGAGGGTTTTTCGGCGCATTTACGCAGGTCATGACCAACGTGGGCATACTGGGGACTCAGACTCTAGGCTATTTCCTGAGTAAAGGGCAGCTTTGGCGCCTCATCACGGCTATAGCTGGCGCTCTGGGCCTTGCGGAACTCTGTGGCCTTCTATTCGTTCCTGAGAGCCCGCTGTGGCTAGCGGAGCATCAGCAGGTAGACCGTGCAATGCAGGTTCTCCAGCGCATTCGTGGCCAGGATGCTGACATCCACAACGAACTTAAGAGCTGGCAGATCAGACCATCGCCACAAAATCCAAGCAACACCACAGAGGAACAATCTCTTTTGGTTACCGTGCCACAGAGTGCCCCACCCAAACCCACTGATGTCTCCATCATTGGTGTGATTCTGGACCCTGGCTATCGCAAGGCCATAATTGCCGTTGTCGCCGTAATGGTCACACAACAATTTACAGGCATAAATAGTATTATAATGTATAGCGTTTCCCTTCTTTCAACCATTCTTCCAACTACTGCTTCCCTGCTCACTGTTATTGTTTCGGCGGTTAATCTCTTCACCACCCTTCTATGCGCCCCCTTGTCTGATACGTTCGGTCGCAAGAGATGCCTCCTTCTCAGCATTGCGGGAATGGGCATTTCGTCCGCCCTTCTGGCTGTTAGTATTGCCTCTAATTTCAAGGTTCTTTCTGCCCTTTCCACGCTGTGCTTTGTAGCGAGCTTTGCTGTAGGCCTTGGGCCTATTCCTTTCATTCTTGCGTCTGAACTCGTTGGCCCTGAGGCGGTTGGTGCCGCTCAGAGCTGGGCCCTCGCTACCAATTGGACCGCTACATTTATAGTGGCACAGTTTTTTCCGGCTTTGAATGCTGCCCTAGGTGGTGAAGGCGAGGTCTACTGGGTTTTTGCGGGAATGGCTCTAGTTTTAGGGGGCTTCATCTTGTGGTGGGTGCCAGAGACCAGAGGTAAGCAAAACATGGGCGAGGTTTGGGGGCACGCGGAGAGAAGAATGGATTAATCCCTGTCTGGCTCAACGCGGTTGCATCCCTATGGCAACTTTATTCTGTGTTTGTCCGATAATCATATTCTTAGCCCTTATGCAAAAGCTATCTTAATTCGAATATTCCATCTGCACCAGGAGTCCATCCACTATGTGCCATAACATCCAATGATGGGGGGGGGAAGAGAAAGCTAACGCTAAAATCCAAAATGCCACGCTCTCACTTATTCTCAAGGCGGCCAAGAGCTCCCAGTACCCGTCTTAAATCCTCCTTTTGTGGATTTTCCACGGTGTTGCCCCCCGTATCGTCTGGTACCTGGCTGTCCCCAACCTTTCGTACAGTTAGAGACCCAAAATCCCTCTGTTCTAAGCTTTGCGCACACATGCGCAATACACCGCCAGCCACCATATCCACCATAGACCGATACAGCTCAATGTTATGGACGCCCGTAGCGAAGGAGTCCAAAATCGGCGCAAGGGACGAGGAAAGCGATGTGAGCCGCGTGGTCAATGACAATGTAGAGTCTGACGACTCCGTTGAGGAAGTTAATACTGGATGTGGGGTTAACAAGGGCTCAGCTAAAACGGTAAGAAGCGATCTTTGGGTGTCGTCTAAAAATGCAGAATTGATCGCAGACGTATTTGTACTGTTTGTGCCCGAGTCACCAGGACCACTTTTTTCGGCATCCGCAAACGTCGACTTGATTCTCGGCACCAAGGGCAAACGTAAGAGAGCCGCCAGAGACTGTCGTTCAGCTTGAAGGCTATTATTTGTTAATAAATCAAATTGATAAAAACACAACGGCACGGTAGCCATACCGCTGAATGTGTTCTTCCAATTCTTTGATTTTCTCCACGTTCTGCTCGTTTTTTGGGTTCGGCTTTTTCACAACCACAGTCAAAGCAGTAGTTTCCTCACGGCTAAACCAATCGGCGAGCTCAGATCGATTTGAAAATTCTTTGAGCATTTCCTCTTGTATCACGCGTGCTAGAAGGATTAAAATTTATTATGTGCTTCCTTGGAGGAATGTGGATAAGTACCTGCTAGTTTGGCACTTTCATCATCGGACCTAGAGCCAGAGGGCTTTTCGCCCATAGCCCTCGTTGCGCACCAAGTCAATAGTTGTCGCATTCGTCTGGGCTCAGACAAAGCTTCACTCTCAATATGTTTGTAAAAGTCTGTCGTATCAACCTTGTCATGCGGGAGTGCTACAAAGATGATTAGCGAATGCGAATAAGGGCGTGAACTGCGCCGGGCTACTAATACCATTTGAAGTCCCAGATTCTATCAGTGAGCTGGCTCTTCTGCCCCTCATCCCAAAACTGCTTCTCCTTTGTCCTCTGCCCCGCTCCTGTCTCATTTCCTTATTCCGTTGCATAACCGGTGTATCAGCAAATGGGAGGATAATTTTCGTGCCGTCTAGAGGAAAGGCTGGAGTTGCAGCCTCTGGAGGGTAGTTGTCTTCGGTGTCTGGGTCCTTTGTTTTACCTGGTCGTCTTTTTCTTACATCCAGACCTTCGGAACTGGATCTCATCGGATCCGTAAATTCAGTCCGGTGTGGTTGACCAGGCTTCTCATGAGCGGGTAATCGATCCACAGCACGACATTCAGCAGAAGTGGTAGATATTGATCGAGCCTTCTTTGGGCGCGAAGTCCGTGAGAATTGGAACCCTTCAATATCTTCTTCATAGTCCACTATAGTGATAGCAACAAAAGGTTAGGCGATTCATTGTAACCATTTCATCGCCAACACACTCACCAGCTTTTCGTTTCCCTATGGCTTCATGCCAGCCATTGGTGGCAGTGTTTTCTTTGCCACTTATCTTCGTGCCATTCCTGGTTCGCCCAGGCGCGGCAATATCCTTCTCAGGTACACGAGATTGCGGCATCACTATCGGTACTGACTGCGTGTTTAATTGCTTGTGAATGGGATAGTTGGGTATGCGACGCCAATCGGGAAGAGACGAGTCATTCAGTGAACGTTTGGTCTGAGACTCGTATGGAACACTATTCGTCGAGCTAGTGCGCGCAGATATCAAAATGGTGGTCATATCCGGGAGGGAAGCAGAAGGAGAGGAATAATAGAGAGAATTCAGAGGGAAATAAAAGGCGTGGGCGTAGAGCTTGTCACCATGAAGCACCTATCCGCACGGGATCAAATAGAGCAGGCGGCTGGTGTGAAGTGAAAGTTGATGAACAGGAATACAGTCCGGTTGGAATTAATTCGAGAATATACGGCCCGATGCGCATTTCACGAGTATCGCATGGTTGAGCCGAAGGGCTCACGGATGGCGCCTGCCGGGTGCGGGCCAACGCCGGAGGTTGTTGCAGAGAGTGTGAGTGTAGTGATTATGAGGATAGCTATGCCGCGCGCTTCCTCGAGCCGTGGATATGATGATCCTGCTGCTGTTCGTTCGACCACTCGCTATCTGTCTTGTCGTCCTCGTCGCCCTAGTCGTCGTGGTCGCGTTTCCATCGGAAGATGTTGTGGTCTTGGCGCGTCTAATAGCGCTAGTCCCAATGAGGGCTGCCCTTTCTTACTCAGCATTGCTTATGTAGTTATGTTGAGCAGGAGTCAGGTGACTTGTCAGGTGACCAGGTCTCTGAAGGAGGAACTGGAGAACTGTAGGTTCACCACCTCCTCTTCTCAACCACAGTACCAATTTCATTATCTTTGTCTATTGAACTGATGAAGATTTGCTAGAGGTTTTTCATATGTTTTTTCTGTAGTCTTGATTATAGCATGTTTGTCTATAAGTATCTGTGTCTCATTTATTAGAAGCAAGATCAGATGCAATATTATAGATGCTCAGTCATATAATCATCATGTGCTTCTGTGTCATTCAATAGTTATGAGTTCAGACTCTTTTAAGAATTTAATTATTATCTAAAGATATGTTCAAGATACTGTATTTCACTCTTGTTATTCATACAAATAGAGATCACTATTACATATCTTGAGATCATACATTAAACTCTCTATTTAAGCTTAAATCTTAATTGCAGAGTTTGCAGAGATCTAATGCATCTATATAATTTTTACTGATCTAAGTCTACAGAAAACCATAATCTAGAATCAACATCTTAACTTCAATAATTAATTAAAAATGAATAAATCATTTAGAAGAGTTGTTATGCTGAATAGTTCTGATAATTGAAAAGAATAAATTGAAGACATCAAACATTTAGTAAATCTTCATCAATTGTGACTGTACATTAATTCAACAAAAGAAATGCATTCTGAACTTCAGAAATTCATTATAGAGAATTTTCTTTTTTCTGAGAAAACTGAAAAAATCACAACTTCTGCAGATACAAAACATGCAAGAAATACACAAAGAGATCAATACAGAACTTAAAAGAAGAGAATCTTAGCAATGTAAAAGCTACAGAAAATAATAAGAGATCATATAAATTCATTTCTGAGAATTCTTACAATAAATGAATCAGACAGTATAGAAACTACTGCAAAAGAACATCTGAAAGCTCTCTATGCTAGAAATGCAGTGAATGCTTCTCAATTGAAAGCTAGACTAGTAGAGAGATTCAAAATTCTAGAAGACAGATTAAAAAATCAAACAATCAAAGCATATTTGCTGAACTACAAAGAAGCATTAAATCAGACTATTATGTATAATATGTGTAAATATATCTGCAAATCTTTTGTCTTCAAACAATTTCTGAGAGCAATCTCTCAGAATTACAGAGAGTTCTTCTATATGTATCTGTCAAAGCTTCTAACTAAAGAGAATTTAAATTGAAAGCATGAGCTGAATGTTTATAGACATATTCAAATATTTCAGCAGACATTAAAGAAGAATTCTGAGTCAGACCAACAGAATAAGTCATCAGCATACTTCACCAAAAAGATAGTTCAAAATAAGTCATTGAGAAAGAATAATGAAAATACAAACTCAGCATATCTTTGCAGAGAGCAACATGATTGAGCATACTGTTCATATTTTAATTCACTTGTTTAATCAACAGACTGGAAACTGGATCCAAAAATTGATAATAAGATCAAGAAAGTATTGAAGAATCCAGTGAATGACAGAAAATTGAAGAAAAAGATTGTAAATTGAAAGAAATTGAAGAATTCAAATGCTAATGAAGAAATTGATGCTTTAAGTAATGCAACAGAAGATAGTGCTAACAAAGTCATTGTCAAGACATTTTCTAATTCAACTGTCTTCACTTTCATAACAGTTTTTAACTCCACTAACATGAGTGATAAATATGAACTCTATTCATTACAGAACAGCTTTGTATTAGATGGAGATGCAGATGCACATATTTGCAATGATTTTATAAGATTTCAAAACTATCAGAATGCTGATTCTTCAGATATTGTGCTTGTTGAAAATACTCATTATAAAATTCACAGATACAGTGATGTTGAAGTTTATATTCAAATGCCAGCAGATGCTGACAAAATATTACTAAAGAATGTTCTCTACATTTCTGACTTTCATACAAATCTAGTAGTGCACAGATTGCTGTGTGTGAAGAGTTGTTATTTAAATGATGAGTCTCTTATGATTTACTACATCAGCACAAGAGATATCTTGTTCAATTTGACTGTTAAAGAGAGAAAAATGGTCATTGAATACAGATCTATTAACATTGCAACAGACAGTATAACAAAGAGTGTTTTTACTGTCTCATTAAATGAAGATTCAGTTAATAAATCAGTCACAGTATTGATCTTCAGCTCACTGAAAATCATAAATATTTAACATCTGAGATTTGATCATCTGGGCAGAAAGTCTCTGACACATCTTTCAAAAATGTCTATTAATATGAAATTTAAAAAAATCTCTTGAAGTTCTCTAACAGTGAAGTGCAGATCTTGCACTCTTTCAAAAGCAAAGTAAATTATACACAGAACATTATTGAAAAGATCTACACATTTATTTATGAAAATGTCTGTTGATCTCATACAGTTTGCTCTAGATTATAATGAAGATAGATGGGCAGTTCACTTATATTGTGATTATACTCATCTGCACTACATGAAAACAATGCAGCAAAATTTCAAAAGTTTGACATGCACAGTAAATGTGAGGATCAGGTGGTTGCAGATAATGTGGCAATGGCTTACAGCCTTTGTAAATGAGATTAGGTTGAGTGGGAAGTGATTATGAAGGGATCTAAGCATGAGAGAGAGAGAGATAACTTATATTGCTACAACAGTATCTAGAGTCTCTAGATATGTTGTCACTGATCTTTGTAAAGAAGCATCTGTGACAGATTTTGTGTGTTCAGCTTTGCTAGTGTGATCATGTGATCAGTTATGAAGTTTTCAAACTCCAGATGTCATGAAGCATGATCATTTAAGCATCAAGAAGATTTTATGAATCTCTTTTAGATGATGAAATGAATGTAAGAAGATCACAGCACAGAGTCTTACAGATTTTCTCTTCTTCATAAGTCTTGATTCCCAAAATGTTGATGTGATCAAGATCACAGTGAGAGTGACAGCTCCACTGTGATTATAACAATTTTGTACAAAATCTCTTTTTGATGTGATGAATGTAAGGAGGCTGCAGTGCAGAGCCTTAATTTAATCTCAGTTTCTAGATGTAGATGTGACAGTAAGATCACAGCAAGAGTGACAGCTTCTTTGTGATTGTAATATAGTTGCTGTAGTGACTGTTATTTTTCATGATTCATCTAGTGATACTCAGCAATCTCTTGAATATAAATATCTCTTTCTTGATCTTCTTTCTCTCTCTCTTTCTTTTTCTTTTTCAACAACATTCTTCTTTATTTTAATAAAAGTTCTAGACAAGCATTCTCTTCTTGATGATTACAAATCTTGAGAGACTTCATAAAGACTTTTCTCAATGCTAATACATTATGCAGAAAGATAATTTGCCATGTCTCTCTTCTGTTCAAATTAAGATGTCAAAATGTGAGCAACAATGACTCAATAAGTTTAGAGATAAAATTTCAATCAGTTGTTGTTCAAGACTCTCTTCAGAGATAATGTAAGAGATGTCTTCAGAATCTTCTGCTTCATCTGAAGCAGAGTTCTCAACTACTGCTGTTTCTCAAGAAAATTAAAGTGAAGAGGCATCATTGCTGTCAGTTTTCATTTATGCAACAGAGAGTTATGTCTCTGAAGACTTTGAGATTTCTTTTCAGATGTCACAGCTCAGTCAGTCTGATTTTAATTATGATGATGTAAGTGATATTCTTCCATTTCTTCTTCTTTTAATGCTTCATAATTGCTTTTATAAAGTCTGAAATATTCTTTATGAAGTGTTTTCTCACTCCATAATCCTCTTTTCTGTGTGCATGGCTGATGGCATATTCAGAGCACTAATATTCAAGCTTGATGGGAACACTCAATGATGTCTACTGTATCTAGTAACAATTCTTTTTCAACTACTAGCTCTGTTGTCTCAGTTGATCAGATCTTGAGAGAAAGTGGTCATCTGTCTTTCAAATCTGAAACTCTTATTGATAATGCACCACTCTGTTTTTCTTGATCTGATCTGTTTCTACCACATTCATGTTCTCAGTCTGTGCTCTTTTCTATGCTGCATTCATTCTCAACTTCTCAAGCATTGGTTCTGTCTCTGATGCACCCAAGATATGTTGAGTTGCTTCATAACATGACTTATAAGACAGTTTCTGCTTCATAAACTCATTTATGAAGTGATATTAAGAGTCTCAGCTAATGCTTTTTCTTTCTCTAGAAGTTGATCTCATCAACTTCTTCTCTATCTGCTGTGTCTGCTTCTGCTTCTGCTTCTGCTTCTCTGACTTCTGCTCTGACTGTTAACTTGTCAGTCAGAACATCAGTTACTATGAGTCATCTTTCACTCTTAATTTCAGATCAGAATTCATCTGATCATAAGAGATGACTTCTTGCTTTCTTCTCTCTTCAGTCTGCAACTCTTACTGATCCAACAGACTCTGTTCAGCTGAGAAATAGAGTCCAGCTCCAGAAAGAAGTTCTGGTCATCATAATAGACAATTATTCTTAGTAGTCATGTACAGCATGCTGGAGTAACTTAAATCTCCCATTGAGACAGTGTGTTGC